CTTATTTTAATCGCCTTCTGCTTTTCCATTAATGAAGTCGCATCACCAGGGACCCCTTGGGGTTTTTTTTAATTTTGCACCAATGTGTCTCTGGCCCTCTCAAACACCTCACATCTTTGTCAGTAAAGCTGAATGCTCCCACATCTCTTCCTTCATGGTGCCCATTTACATTAAGATCCACAATTCTGAGATTAAAGTCAGAATTCTGAGATTAAAATCAGAATTCTGAGAAAAAAAAGCAGAATTCTGAGATTAAAATCAGAATTCTTATTTTTTTCCCATATTAAACTGAAATAATATTTAAAAATCAGTTAACATTTTTTTTTTCAGTGGCCCTAATGCTCTTCTGTAAGTTTTAAACTCGTATCCCCATTTTAATAAATGTATGTGTCGCCTTTTTTGACTTGGGCAGTTTGGCTTTCTTTTCAGGATGTGACAACACCTGGGCTTCAAAAGGCACAGCGACAGCAAACAAAGGGTTATTTCTGTGTTTTCTTATATAAAAAGGGCTGTCCACCATTTAAAGCGTTTTTGAAATAAAGAGATGTTTGAGGAAAGTAATGAGAACATTTTTCCATAATAGGACAAACATGAAAATGTGCTTAACTCAAACAAAATTGAGTTGGTCTGTATTTGTCTACTTTGCAAATGTAGTATTGTGATTACACCTTCAAGCTTTCTTTATCCAGATTTTTGGATATTTCGGTGGGCATAACGACTCCCTACATAACACTTTCCGATATAAATATATTAAATCATTTAAAACAGAATTTAATCTTACTCAGGCCAGAGAAATTGTAGGATTACAGATGGTAAGCCTACTGGAAAAAACTATTGAAAAAACCTATTTATAGATCTGCAGAGTCACATCCTGCCACAGTCATAACATCACACATAATTATTTGATTCACATATTTTTTAAATGACGAAACATCACTGTGTTCCTAGAGGGCAAAGCTTTCTTGGACAACAAGGACAACCTGGTGCACTGTTAGTTTCTTTTTTTGAAGTTCCAAAATAATTGCCTGTAGGATTCAGAGTTTCTAGAGACCGGAAGCAGCAATGGGTAGCACTGNCTGGTGCACTGTTAGTTTCTTTTTTTGAAGTTCCAAAATAATTGCCTGTAGGATTCAGAGTTTCTAGAGACCGGAAGCAGCAATGGGTAGCACTGGTGCCTTGCAGCAAGAAGGTTTCGGGTTTGATTCCCGGCCCAGGGTCTTTCTGCATGGAGTTTGCATATTCTCCTTGTGCATGCGTGGGTTCTCTCTGGGTACTCCGGTTTCCTCTCACAGTCCAAAATCCTGACTGTTAGGTTAATTGGCTTCTCTAAATTCTACTTAGTTGTGAGTGTGTGCTTGAATGGTGGCTTGTCTTGTTTGTCTATGTGTTGCCCTGCGATAGACTGGCAACCTGTGCAGTGTGTACTCCGCTGGAGTTAGGTACCAGCACCCCTCATGACCCCAGCAGGGATAAGCATGACAAAGGATGGATGGTATATATATATATATATATATATATATATATATATATATATATATATATATATATATATGCTATCATAGATTCATAAAATGTTCAACACTATAACACACCATTCCCTTGGCGGAAGAAGAATGAGTATCATCCCAAGACCCCCATAACATCATGTTATAGGGGTGTTTTTCCGCACATGATACAAGGCGACTGCACTATATTAAAGAGAGGATGACTTGCGCCATGTATTATGAGATTTTGGGGAACAACCTCCTTCCCTCAGTTAGAATATTGAAGATGGGTCGAGGCTGGGTCCTCAAACATGATAATGACCCAAAGCAAACAGCCAGGATAACCAAGGAATGGCTCTGTTAGAAGCATATTAAGGTTCTGGCTTGGCCTAGCCAGTCTCAAGACCTAAACCCAATAGAGAATTTTTGGAGGGAGCTAAAACTGTCGGCCAGAATCCCTCCTGCAGTGTGTGTGCAAACCTGGTGAAAAACTACAGGAAAGGCCACTATACCAAATATTAACATTGATTTTCTCAGTTATTCAAATACTTATTTGCAGCTGTATCAAACAAATAAGTAGTTAAAAAAAAAGTCATACATTGTGATTTCTGGATTTATTTATTTTTTAGATTATGTCTCTCACAGTGGACATGCATCTACACAATTTCAGACCCTTCCATGATTTCTAAGTGGGAGAACTTGCAAAATGTTTAAAAATCTATTTTCCTCACTGTATATGTAACCAAACTAACTGCACCATCTGCTGACCCCTTTGCCCAATAACTGCAGGGTCCAGCAGGGGACCAAGGCTGTCCTCTAGGTACTGAAAAGCCAGATGATCAAAGGCTTTCATGACTAGATGTCAGTGTGACACCACCTAATTCATTTAACCATGTGATAACGTATCTCTTGGGGATTAGGTTGATGGAGGAACATTTGAACCAGGAGGAAATCTCATGTATCTCCATAGCCCTGCCTATACAGCAGCCTGCCCCCTCCTCCAAGCTTCGTTCTTGTTCCTATGCAGCTTCCTGAGATGTAAACGGAGCCATAGCTTTCTGTTGTTGTATGTGCAAAATATCTTGACCTGCACACATGTCCTACGAAAACGGATACAGCAAGTGACACGTGTCGTCAAGCTCATTAATGGATGTGGTTCCTAAGCAGACCTGCAACACCTGTTTTGACTGCTTCATCCACTTCAATGATTTCTGCTTATAGGTAGTCCCAAACCAGTTATGGTGAAAGACAGATATGCATCAATGAAAGCTGAATAACACTGGTTGAGTGTGTTTTCATGAGATGAAATAGGTATTTTATAATCTTATTGGAGTTGTTTACACTGTTAAAGCTACAGTGTGTAATAATTACAGGGATATACAGTCAGAAATGTTATATATTATACATAACTATGTTATTTATCATCATCTACGAGCTCAGCCTCTTAACCTTAATATTTGCGTTGCCTTAGAATTCGTTATTTATAATTACATAGGAGCGGGTCTCGCAGCCATGGAGGCAGACATCTTTGCGCTACGGCAGCGCAGAGCCAACAAACTAGCGATTGCGAGATCGCCAAAACGTCACAACGATGTAGAAAAAATAACGGGTATATTTATTATCTTAAGTCTACATGAAATCTATACCCTACACAGACTAATGAAATACTATCTGTAAAATTATCTATGTAAACAAACCTCATCACTTGAGAAGGTAGGTGATGCGGACGTCGTGGAAGACATTTTGTCCCGTAACGCTCGCCGTACTGTTGGGGGGGAGATGTTCATGTTGCTGCAGTCTGCAGTCTGACCGCTAGATGTCGCTAAAAGTTACACACTGTAGCTTTAAAGTCCCTAATACCAATGATGAGTCTGTTATTAGTTCAGGACATGGTTTTTGGCCTCTAATGTCCAGGCTTTGTAATGGAATGTAAACTCCAGCCAGAGTAAACAATGAGAATTCTCTTTGTAAATCAAAAAGCATATTAATCTGTATAAAGAGGCAAATTTAGTACTACAGGCTCTATTTAACAGACATAAAAACACCAAACTTTGCTTATGTAAAAGCTTCTCTCTTTACGATTTTTAGTGCCGTGGTTTTGGAATTTCATTAAAACAAAGAGGCGAAGGCAACTGTAGGGTTCAGAGTTTTTAGAGCTCGGAAGCAGCATTTAGTCCATTTATTTTCTTCATCTCTGGTAAATACCATAGAGGGCCACTGCTTTGCCAACTAGCATCAGTAAGAGAGAGGAAAGTACTGAGGATGTCATTTGCAGCTATCCTCAAGGGCAGATTAGACTTCTGCACCCGCACACATCAAATGTCGCTTGGGTCTGGTCGCGAACCAGTTTTGCTGGTATGCTTCTGCACCGTCCGTCTGGAATTTCTAGGGACGCACAGAAGTTTCCCGCCAAAGCGCAAGGGGGGGCCTATTCGAGAACTCGCAAGAACTTCGGCAGATGGACACAAGAACTTTGTTTTGGCGGAGACCTTGGCATCTTTATATAATTTGTCTGAGGCATCCTACAAGTGGTTGTACTTCGAACCTCCTCGATTAACCTTTCGTCGTAGCTGTCCATTGTTGCTGTTCCTCATTTTTTTAAATGGTGCGCTCCGGCATTAAATCAAGAAGGACAACCACACAGATAGATGGTAAGGCATACCAAGGACCAATCCCAGAAGCTTTTTGTCTGTGTACTTCCGCTTGAGGTTTGCGACTGTTCGACAAGTAGTCAGGATTTTTTTTTAGGTGCGTGACGACGGTTGCAGATCCTCTGCACGGGGGGCACCTCAAAAAGCATAAATCGTGTTGAGAATATGTAGAAAGACTTAAAGATAAAATTTAATTTACCAAGGCTTTGGTTCTAACTGACTTACTTTAAAACAAGGAATATACATAAACTTTAGTGAGTTAAGGAGCTAGGATAGCTGAGACATACTTGCAGCTATAGTTTTAGCCAAAATATTGACTGGCATAAATGGCACATTTTATTTTTAGGTTTTTAAGGAGAAATACGTTTTTAATTACTTCAAAATCATATTTTGATCAAATGCAATACAATACATTCAAGTTAATGGTTGCAATGTAAAAAATTATTAAAAAAAACAAAATTATTAAAGGGATATAAACGCCTTTACAAGCTTGCTTGCACTTTTAAACTCATCTTTGACGTCTGCTTGCGAAACTTCCTTATAATTCAGTTCAATAAGCAGATGGAGCCAAGTTGCCAACTTTTTTTTTTTTTTTTTTAAGACGGCAGCAGCCAACAGTATTGGGAACATAGATTTATTGTTATTAGGCAGCAGCATAGATTAACAATCAATGCTCTCTTTTTTAAAATGTTAACAAGTCAAAATCTTAAAGGTAAAAAAATAAATAAAAGTTACATCTCAATAAGATATATAGTGTATAGCACTGGATGTTTTCATGGAAAACCTTCAACATTTCAACAATGAGGTCAAAGCACAGCTGATGACACTGAGGTATGGATGAATATTTAAATACAGCAATCAATACATTTTTGGCACAAAAACACCATAGAGATACATCAAATTGCACAGTACACTTTAGACCTATTAACAGATCATGAATACTTATTGATTAGCTTCGAAAATGATTTCAATTTTCTCTGCATGCGTTTTAAAATCAAAACGTCAGTCCCTCGTGCTGAATTAACAGCCATGCTTTTGGCTACATCACTCTGTTGGCTATCAGAACAAAGTTTATATGCTTAGTCAAACACAAGACAATTCATTTTATAGCTATTCCTTGAACAGTTACAGCATATTTGGGCATATGTTGTTGATTTCTTTTTTGTCAAGTACCTAGAGAAAAACCAGAGAGATCAGGGATATCATTTCCCTCTTTGAGTTATAAGGCGAGGAGAGTTGGAGAGTTAAGGATATCGAGAGATTCAGCCTTACTCAAACCACCTTTAAGGCCGTCTAGGCCCTCCTCTGTAAGAGAGTCCAGCTCAGGACACGCAAATGTGAACACGGAAAGGTAAGTACTGCAGGTGGGGGTGGAAGTCACCACCGGGGTGCTGAGAGGCTCCAGGTCACAGGAAACAGACTTATACAAGGTCTCCCAGTCCGAGACTCCGAGGGAGCTGCTCAAATCTATGTCTGGAACTGATCGAGCCGTTTCCATGGGGATTCTGTCCTCCAAACTAGGCAGCATATTGTCCAGAAGCCCCTCCTTAATGTCCAGGGAGGGCTCAAGGTCGGAGATGTTGATTTCAGCATTGGCGCACAGTAAGATATTGGAGTTCCCAGAGATTGCTGTGGACGGATCACTGGGGATGTCTATGTCCTGGAGTGATGGAGCTTCCTGGATGCCTTCATCCTGAAGGCGATCCTCATCTGAGCTGGGCGGCAACTCTGGGGAACTAGCAGAAGCCTCTAAAATCGTCTCAAGCTCCTCTTGGATCTGGCACACTGGTTTATGTGTGGTGAGGATGAATTCGAGCCGCTCTTTTTCTTTGAGCAGGTTGGCTATTTCTGTTTCCAGGGCTGCTTTTTCCTCCTCCAGCTTGTCTGTCTCCTTCAGAAAGATCAACATCCAAAATCATACACAGGGACAAACACTCAGCCGTAAGTGCAAATGACAGCTGAGTAAATGCATTACTGTTTACTTACAGCCTGCAGCGTATCTGTGAGTTCCCTCCGTCTGTTGCGACACTTTGCTGCAGCCATTTTATTCCTTTCCCGTCTTATCCTCTTCTTCTCCTCCTCCTCTGGAGACAGCTGGGGGATGAAAGAAATAATTCAGTTACTGCCTTCATCACCTAATCCATTGTATCCATTCCCACTTCCAGCTCTGGGGGGGAAAAAATGTGCAAAAGCATGTCTCCCTGCATTGCGTCTAAAAATAGATCATTGTTGCAGACTTGCTATGACCTGAATTTAAATTGACATCCTTAAGGAAGGCGCACAGCCACTGAGGAGCAGACACACAACAGCCCACACATCCTATCATGTAAAATACAGATTTTCTTTTTTGTTGTGGTTGGATTGCAGATGGGCTTCATTCGATCGACCCTCACCTGCTCTGTTTTCCCCTTTCTGGCAGCATTTTTTCCTTTGCTCCCGCCTGCTTTGGGTGTTGCCTTGTGAGAGCTTTGCGGTTCATTGGCTTGCTTGCTGCCCAGAGATGGGGAGACAGATGTAATAATTGTAGGCTGGACCATCCACTGGAAATCTGGGGTGGAGGATATTGCTGTAACTGTTGGAACAAAGGGATTGTCCTGAGCACTCATATCTTGGTTGACCTCCTGAAAATGAAATTCATAAAAAAGATTAATATTTATTATTTTTTTTAATTTCTGTGTGTGTGATCAAAGCCCCCAATAAAACCTACAAATCATATTGTTTTGATGTATATATATCCCTCACCAGAAATAGCCTTCTCCGGATCAATATTTGACTTTATCATTGTTCCTGACGTCAACACTGACGCAGAGCGGCTGAGGAGTCTCCTGAATGAATTTATTTTTTTTTTCTCAATGAACCGCTGCATCGACACGCTCACAATTGGTCCCAGGACGTCAGAACCCAAAACAAGGCAAAACACCATGCTGTGCAAAAGCCCATCCATTTTGCGCACATGGCTCCTATTCAATAAATGCGTCAACAATTGATGCTGACATTAAGCGCTTCCAAATCAATTAAAAAAACATCAATCACCCCTTCTCCTCTCACCCCCCCACCATCTCTATAATTAAAAATGAAAGCATTGAGGCGCTGATCTAGGGATCAAATGTTTTATGTGCTTGTTAAAGCGCAGATATGGAGGCTGAATAGATGATCAACAAAGCCATTCATACCTTGGCACCGCTCTCTGACGCTGGAGAGCTCTCCTCTTCTGGCGTTTTCTGGCAAAGCGTCCCGACAGGAGACTCTGTCCGCAAGGTTGCATCCATATTCCTTCGTTATTATGCACAATAATTGATTATTTAAAAAATAATAAATAAAACCCACACCAGTCCTGCTCAATGACAAATATCTGACTTCCGCTGTGCAGAGAAAGCGTCTCTTTTCTCCAGGTATATACCTGGTAACTGGATGACTTGAATGCAAGCCCCTCCTATTAAGCCCTGCTAGAATTTTATGAATGAACCAGGACTGTACCACTATCTGATCAGGCGGGGGGTGCTGATTGAGCGCCACGGGCCTACATTCTCATGTAAAGCAGCGTCATTGTGTAATTTAACAGAAAACGCACATCGGATATGAGAAATAAAGCAGGACTCTTATTAATGTCTACCATTAGATTACGTAGGTAGTGATGCACCGACATGCTTTAAGTAACCTTTACATACATTTCATTATTTTACATTGATCAAGTGGAGCAGATCTGGTTAATTTTCAACATTTTTCATAAATGTTTATGCAAGAATTACGCATTTTAATAACAAAAAACACTCACTATTGTGCAGCTTATTTCGTTTTAATATAAGATGGATATTTTGAAAATAAATAAATAAAGAAATGCTCCTTTACAAACTGTTTACATGGCAGATTTAAAAAAACAACAACAACAACAACAAAAACAAACAGATTGGCTTTAAGAGGTAAAGACCCACCCTACCAATGTCAGACACCTCTTTATTCTGGACTACCAATCACAGCAAAGATTCCTGCCCACTGTCCAAATCACTGATCCATCAAGCAGGGACCTTGGACTTTTTTTTTTTATGTGGGGGCAGTGAAGTCACGTGGCATGACCCGGAAATGAAGAGGAGGATGCAGCAGCAGAGGGGGAGGGTTTCTCGGAGCAGCACCATCCTTTCCTCCCACCTGAACATCTGCATCTCCGCACACAAAGCCCGGATGCCTCTGCTACTAAAATCTCAAGGACATTTCCACTAGATCATAGAAAATGGTTGAAAGAAAAAAAAAATCTGCTGCAAAAATTGCATACAATCAAGAGGAAAAGCTTGGAACTTTTCTTCATCCCAAGTGACAAGTGTTGCACTGTGGTATGGTGATTTGCAAAAGTATTCACTCAATACTTTGACGCAGAGCAAACCCAAACCTTTTAAAATAATGAACTGACACATGGTAAAACGTAAATGTTCAGAGGAAGGTTAAGGCAACATGGTTTTCTAAATACTAAATCTGAAAAGTGTGGCATGCATTTCTAGTCAGCCCTGTTGCTCTAATAATCATGAAAAACAGCTGAAGCCAGTTGGATGCAGACATCGTTTAACTGGTAGATAGTCAATCTCTGTAACTAATCACATAAATGCAACTTTTCATTGAAGAACACCAGAGAATAAACAGCATGAGAAAGACCAAAGAAGCATCATACAGGTCAGATAACATTGGTGAGAAGCATTATAGGTATAGAGGACGATCTTTTGTTTCCAGGTGGATCATCTAAAGTGGTCCTCCTAATTGTCAATCATTCTGGTGAGATGTTCACGTAAGGCCGTCCTACGTGCTCGTCCCGTTAGCTATCTTTTTCTGCACATGCACACTTTCAGGCAAAAACGTGTGGTGAGCTATGGTTTCAGACAGTAATTGAAGCTCACCTTTCTCGCCGCAGTTCTTTGAAAACGGCAGAGGGTCATAAGACAAAAAGTGTCTATGAAGTGTATGAGAAGAAAAAAAAGGCCTCAGAAGAGGCAGATATATCCCAGAATTCTTTGCGCAAAGTACTATAGGATTTCCTTTCACAGCAGCCCACTGTCGCTACCAGACAGCGGTGACTAATAACAAAGATGGCGCAAGCACCGCGCGATGGAGGTGGAGTTACATGACCAACGGGGAGCAAATAGCAGTGATCATCTGTCTGAACGGTCAGTTAACCGAGTTCACTATTAAGTCCACTGTATACTCCCGACTCTATATAGTGATTGAGGGATTTAGGGGTTCAGGCACAGTAAGCCCGGATGAGCTATGAGAACAGCAACTTTTAAACAGAATGTGCACGAGGAGAAATGGGCTCGTGCATGCTTCTGCACACCTTAATTAGGGGTTCCCTTTCAGGGGCGGGTACAGGGTTGTGCATTTACATTTTTTTTTTTAAAGTGGAGAGGGCGGGTCTTTTAAAAAAAAATTGTGAAAATCCTCCATAATACCTTTAAGTTAAAGAACAACGTCCGAAGTTTTTAAAATCTCACAGCACAGTGTTTTAAACCATGATTTGTAACATGTAAAAGAAATGAGACAACAGCCAACTACAAGGACAAAGCTGTCCCCCAAAACTGACAGGATATGGGAGCATAAAGAGGAGCTGCTGACAGTAATAGTTGAGAGGAAAACTTTTAACTGAACTACAAAAATGAGAACAGGGGTGTTTAGAAAGCAATCGAAAGAAATCTGCTAACATTTTGGAAGTTTTTAAGCAGCTGTTTGAGATGCTGACCAAAGTATTAACATCAGACCTGCAGTGGTTTCTAAAATTATTACTATAATTATTAGTTGTGGCTGAATAATGCACTTCAAAAAATATCTAAATATATTTATATATTTCTTGAAATGAATGAAGCTACCCTTTGAGAATGTGAATACAATTATGTTCAAACAAAGAAAGTTTTTTGGCTGTTGAAATATGATGACTATGCAGCGCTGAAAACACTAACTTACATTCACAACCTAAACTTTGATTTTCTTCTTTCCATCTGTATTAATTTAGTCCAAACAAACCATTGTCTTAAATTTTCAGTGTTTGTCTTGGCTGTGCTGCTTCCATTACCTTTCTGTGGTTGCTATATTTTTTGTCCAATCACATTTCAGCCTTGGTGCGTTGATATGTCATCCGTCAAATCTGCCCAGGACCTCCAGAGTCAGCAGTGCTGGTCGATGTTGCTTTAACAATATTCATGAGGAATATCTTCTTCTGCCAATCAGATTTCAGATTTGCCCCATTTCTGTCCTCTGCTTGGTCAGTTACAGCAAAATGTTTACAGCCAAATTAAGCTAACGACGATCTGCATTTTAGATTTGCTTTTGTTAAAAGTTTTTCTGGCCTCAATTACTGATACTAAATTAAAATACTAAGACTTCCTGCACAGAGACAGAAGGATGAAATCTGTTTACAAATAATCAGCATCTCTGGTGACTGTGATATATTTTATTTCCACGCTTTATGCACCATTTTATCTGGTAATTAGATTCATATTGAATCTGAACGGCTAATGTTTATAAATCCGTGGTTATAGAGTAGAGGATTGCTGTTGTCTTAACTAGGCTTCTTGCCTAATTGATCTCTGTATTCACCCTCACACTAATCTTCCTCTGTTATACCTGTGCTTGTAACATTTCATTTGAATACTATTGAGGGTTTCTGTTATTAAAATCTGAAAATGGTGATATTAACACCATGACACGTCATTGTTGCAAATAGACGTCCAAGGGATAAGAAGTAGGTTAAGTTGAAGTGTGCCGACTGAATGCCTAGGTACCATATGCGACACCTACCACTGGGTTTCAGTATATTAATAAACATTTATTTGTAGTTGCTGTTTTTGTTTCATTGGGCTTTGTTTGGTCATGTGACTAAAATAATGACGAATGGCAGGAATGTAGGTGTCCATAGGATCGGGAAATATATAACCTAAGATTGGTAAATACTGGTTATCAGCCATAACTTCAAAATTAATATTGGATGACGATATCAGCCCAGATTTTATCTTTACATCTTGTCTGAATAAGAGGGATGTTGGGTTAGTGGTTAGAGCAGTGCGCTTGTGCTCTGAGAAGGTTGCAAGTACCTGGTTTGATCCCCACAGACTGCTACTCTGGGTCCCTGAGCAAGACCCTTAAACCCTGATTGCCACGCAATGGCAGCCCACTGCTCCCCAAGGGGATGGGTCAAATGCAGAGAGAGAATTCCCCATTGTGGGACAATAAAGGGATATATATGCATGCCACACAGCTCAGATTACTTGCAGAAAATAAAAGACATTGCATCACTGTCCTCAAACTTTACATTTATAAACGGTTGAGTGGTTTTTCTGATAAAACAATGAAACATGTGGAGGTGTAACATTAAACAAAGGTGGGGATATTTCTCTGAGGTACTGTAGTTCTCCCATTTTGTAATTACTAAAATCACATTGAGCAAATAGTGTCTTGGTATTCTTGGTTATTCTCTTCTGCATGTGGTAACTACAGTATGACTGTACTGTTTGATGCATCTCAATTTAATAAACAATCTGACTTCTTCACATCTAACCATTTTTTTTATTATAAAAGATTTTTAAACAACAGTTTAGTTTTTAGTAAAGCTTTTTGTGTTTGCAGTAAGCTGCATTTTTAAAATTAAAAGCACACCTTGTTTATTTATTTCCATAAAGCTCCCATGCTTTATACATTCTTCTTAGCCTTTTCAGGTTTGGTTTCTGGAAGTCCTGCAAGAATAAAAATGTATGCTCGTGATCCGATTTCTGAGCCATTTAACCTTTTTTAGGATGTGTCCATATGTTCTAGTACCTTCTGGTCCTCGTCCAGATGAAGGAGGTCTACGAGAGGAGCAATAGAGGGGCGGCCGTGGGCACACTGGAAGGGCAGCTGGCATGAAGACAAGGACGCTACCAGGCTGCGGCACTCGTCTCTGCTTAGAGTGTCATTAAACTTGATGGCACCTTTTCAGCACAGAAATGAATCAAGATCATAGATTTCAGTTGCTTCATCCTAAAAGAATATATGGCATAATTTAATTAAAAAAAAAATTTTATTACCATGGCATGCCAACGAGGAGAGGACTTTCAAAACAGTAAGTGGCAAAGTGCCTCCGATTCTGCCTGTTTGACGGAGTAACTTAAAGAGAAGGAAGAAGAAATGACTGCTTGTTTGTTAGGGTTATGATGATTTGCGAGAGGCAGAAAAACAGATGTTTTACCTCAGTCTGCTCTCGAAGATACTCCTGAGATGAGACAAGGCGGGAAGGTTAACCTCACCAAAATTGGGAACCGATAACGGAGTTATCGGTCCAAATTGTATCGATTGACCCGACTCTAACCTCCTACCTCAACAATAGGCTTGATGACAGACGGTCTTCCTCGCTTAAGCTCATTACTTTCTTTTTCCATGAAGCACAGCGGCACCTTTCCCACAAAAACCTTTGGAGGTCCTGTCTTTGAGAAGGTAACTTCCAGGCCCAAACTCTTTAAATGTGGCTGAGAAGACCTACAGGACGACAGTGATAAAGATTAAACTAACGTGATCCCATTGGTACAATGCACTGCTTATAACATCTACAGCACTCTCTATATTATAACTACTTTAGAGCAACCTAGCAGGTAAAAAATGTGTCCACTACTGATAGGTCCACTAACACTGATTCATCAGAGCATGCGTGGAGCTAATAGAGCAAAACCCAATGTAGTTGCACATTTTGTTTCAAGAAAGTCTCGTGACCGGTACAGCAGCTGTTCTGAAATGACTGCCGCACTAAACTGTGTTTATAAGCACACCTGTCAATGTGCATCTGCCAAAAAAAGTATCTCTGATCTTTTGTGATTCTTTATCAAATTCATCAAGAAATATGGATCCGCCTTAAGGCAAAAGAAAGGTTTTAGAAGTGCTGGAGCTTTTTGTTCTCATATGCTTTAAATTTCTTGTGTCATCCCGCTCCTCCTACTTATTTCTAAAGTTACCTGAATTCAAATTAAATTCAAATTGACTTTGTTTACCGTACTTACTGTAATTATATTTTAATTTTTGTATCTGAATCCTTGTCCACAAGCATTCTCGTTCACATGTTAAACTAAGTGTTCACATTATTTATTGACTGCATCTAAAAATATCAACCATATTTTCAATATAAACGAAGATCTGAAATAATACAATATAACATAGAATGACTTAAATTATAGTATTACAAGGTCATGAAATCAGTGTGGGTTTAGTTTGTCAAATAGGCAGCGTGGAGGGATTTTAAAAGTCCAGCAGGTGTCAGTATTGAGTCAAACTTCATCAGCTTGACCCCTTATCAACTCATCACTAGTATCCAACAATGCTGAAGCCACCAAGAAGAAAACTGTGACCTAATAATTATTAGTTAATAGTTAAAATATATATATATTTTTTGACGGGTCAACAAACAGTGAATATTACGTTTAAGGTTGAAAAAACAAATCACGTTTTTCGCTTAGTTTTTCGACACATAAAACCATAAGAAGTGTGGAGTGCATTTAACTTCCCATTACCCAATACTCTCCAGAACCTGTGTTAAACATGCAGCTGCAGCTAAACCTCTCAGAGGTATTGCACATGAAATGTACTTTTATTATTTTACAAACTTTGTATATCTAGAAGTGGAAATTTCATCCTATATTTCTTTGCAAAATGACTCAAGCTTAGACAAACTGGATAAAGATCTTCTGTGAACATATGTTTCACTGTCTTTCCAACAAATTCCCATTTAGATTTAGAAATGGACAGACTGAGCCATCCTAACACTCTGATCTAAACCAATTGATATTTTCCATAAAAGGCTAGTTTCATAGTATCTGACTAACACATGTCCTGTAAACAGGTTCTACCATCTGAGCTGTATGTAAACACGGTCATGTCTTGGTCTGCTTAGAGTTGTGATCTATTTTTTCTGATTTTGAATAAGGACTAAACAGTCATGACTGATATTATAATACACACAGGTGGGCTTTATTTATTCCTAATGCGATATTTCAAGGCTGAATTTATTTAGAGATATCATAGAAAGGAGGGATAGTAAAAATTTCAACACGTACACATTTCTCTTTGTTATTTGTATTATAGTATTTTGACTCTCGCTTACTTTCTGTTGGTATATTACACAAAATTCTATTTCAATGTATTTTTTCAGGTGAATGAAGAATGTAGAAAAGCAAAATAATGACTGAAAAACAAACACACACCTAAGCAGCCTGAGCTCCTCTTCCGTCACATTGATTTCCAAAGGGGGTAAAATGGTTGATGAACAGAGACGTTTCTCCCCGGAGCCATCCTGGTCGTCTTTGTATGAATCTAAAGCAAAACTCTGAGTTATCAACCTGATATCTTCTGCTTCCAAATAGACAAACAGGGTCCCAGATATCGAACAGTGTGTTAGGCTACATTCAATCTGCAGGCCTTAATGCTCATTCTGATCTTTTTGTGAAATCCTCATCATCTCCTGTGTTAACTGCATTCATACAGCTCAAGTGTGCCGCATGCACAGTAGAGGAATGCAATGACATCACAAACAAGCTTGCTCTGTAATAACAGAAGTAAACATGGATGGTAGTGCTGGAGCACCTCTAGCGATATTTTCCAACCTTAAAAACTCAATCTTTTCAAGACGGTTGAAAATAAAGACTTCTCTCTGTATTGTCATCCCCCGTGGGTTTTTTTCTTTTCTTCCCACTTCTGCATAGCAAGACGCAGAAGAGTGACCTTTGTTGAGTATTAATGACGTTCAGCTTGGATGAATGCCACCTGGCTTTCAGACACAGGTCAAATTTGAAAATCTCAGATTCGTATCAGATTCAGGACCACATATCGGTCCATTTCACATCACTGCAAAAATCGTGCTGTTCAGACTGCCATGAAAAAAGAAAATCAGATACCGGTTGCATATGGGCAAAAAAATCGGATTTGGGTCACTTCAGGCTGCTTGTGAATGTAGCCTTTCACACTTTTGTTTAATCTTTTACCTGTGATTAAATTTTCAAGTCGAATCCTCTCGTGTGCTGCGTGCTGATCTACCAACACCAGCAGGTTACCTGAGATTTTGACAGGAGAAAACATAAAAACACTACAGCAGAACAGTATCATCAAACTAAGTGATGAGATGTTTTATACTCTTACCTTGAGTTTCAGTCTGTGCAGCGGAACCCTCATCACTGGTATCAATAAGGCATGCAAGAAACTTTTTATCCACTTGATTCACAACCTAGAGTATATAACCTTGTTATGATGTCATCAAATGAAAATATGCGAGTGTTACAAGGAAAACATTTACCTTCATGGAGTGAATCATATTCTTAGAAAAGCGGTATGGAAACAGGATGTTGTGGATCTTCACAGCAAGTTCATCAGCTTGTCCAGTGGATATATCCACCCCAATCTGGAGGCCCACAAATATTAAAATTTTTTTTTTTTCATAAGCAGAAATGTGAATTTTTTATTATGCCATCCTTGGAGTGGGTGGGAGTAACAAAACCTTTTAACTTCATAAAAGTTTCAAATGTTTGGCTTACCGTAGGTGGGCGAACAAACACTGGATTTTTCCATTTAGAGTATAATGAAGAAAGTGAGTTGGAGCTCTGGTCTGCACCATCTGTAAAGACAGCAACATTAGCAGTGAGATAAAGACAAAATAAATAAATAAATAACAACAAATTAAAAAAATAAAAAAACAGACCAAGCAGGTAGCAGGTGGAAAATGTTTTACAAATAAATAACCTCCCTCCTTACTGTACCCACACCAATAACTTTTGTATAAGGTGGCTTTCATTCCAAATAGGCTGCAGGGCTTTGTAAATAGCTCACATGCAGTCAGAGGTTGAAAAAAATGCCTGTTAACATAAATTTTCAGGACTTAATATTGTTTCTGTATGAAATTTAAGTTTGAACTTTGACTACATGAGTATCTCTTGACCCACCGCAGCCTTAAGCAGATGTGGTGTTTAGGGAACTTATGGCAAACTCAGGTCTACTGCAGCTTCTAACAGATTTACTTTTAAGGTTCCCCTGCATTTAGATCCATTCTTTTATTCACTGTTAGTACGATGTGTTCACAATGATTCTCTGGCAAACGTAGAGCTTTAAATGTAGATTTACATTTGGTCTCACCATCTTATCCCAGTTTTGTGTGACCCCTAAAAATCTTGCAGCAAAATCCCAATAAAACAGCTAACAGGTGTTTCCTTGCTATGATTTGTTGGGCACATTTAAAACATTTATTCTATCAACAGATATCGCTGAGGAGCCGTTGATCTATGCAGATTCTACCTTGAGTCTCTAAATTGTTTTGTTTTTTTCAGGCCAATGCTCCTTGTGTTTGTTTAGTTTAGGTAGACGACCACATCCTGGAAGGGCTGCAGTTTTGCCAAACTCATTTCCTTCTCAGATTATGGGAAGACAGTACCGAGATATTAACAGGCTGAGGTCCTTTTATATAGATATATATACAGCTCTCACAATTTTATCCCTTGCTTTGGCTGTTGGCCTATGATGCTGTTCATTAAGGTTCTCAGAAAAAATCTACTCTATGCTGAAAAATGCACATAACCCTTTTGTGTTTTGATTTGTAAAAAAAAAATAAAAAATAAAAAAATCACCAGCCATGTATGTTTTTGTAGTACCATTCTAAAAGGTATAGTGGAGGATTTTTTCCCCCTGGTGGATCATCTAAATAAGTGGTCCTCCCAATTATCAATCATGTCAATCACTGGGGACGAGCATACAGGACAAACTCACGTAAACATATTTTACTGCGCATGCGTGCTTTCAGGCGTATGATGAGCTACAGTTTCAGACAGTCTTTGATTTTTGCCTTTCTCACTATGGATCTTTGAAAATGGCCAAGGTTTTTAATAGCAAAAGTGTCTACGAAGTGTACGAGAAGAGAAAGGCCTCAGAAGAGAGAAACAAGACCAGAGTGTATTTGGGAGGTTCTTTCACTCAACGGTGTACGCTGAAAGGGCAGGTTGGGTTTTCCACTGCTGCCTCTGTTGCAAAGTTTCTACTCGACAGGTAAAGTTTGGCATGCTATTTGGAGAAATCCATTTCACATCACTGCAAGTAAAAGTTATATACCCCTATATTGTAAGTTTCCAGGGAAGAAAAGATTATTTATTTTGTAATCTGCATCAGCAGTTGTTCCTTATTCCTAATAGATCCTTATTTAACCCACAGAGATGTCCATGTCCACTGCAGCACACACACACGCATACAAGCGGGTCATGATTTTTTTAATGTACCAGTAGTTTTATTTGCGGGGAAATTTTTTATTTATAAATATGGGTGAGATGAGATCCATCCAAGCGAGCATCTTATCATTGCTTCCCCGCACCTCCTCGAGGAGAAATGGACGCATGCATGCTTTTGCACGCATTTGTTAGGTGTTCCCTGTCGGGAGCGGATACAGGGTTGTGCATGTGAATTATTTTTTTTTTTTCAAGTGGAGAGGGCAGTTCTTTTCAAAAATTTGCAAAAATCCTCCACTATGCCTTTAAGTTGACCTATCCCATAGTATCTGAATTAAATACTCTGGGGTTTCTAGTTGCAATGCGACAAAATGTGAAATAGTGAGTGAAACAGTGATGAATTTGTCAGCGATGTACCTCTACAGTCATTTCCTGAGCTAATCACTCTTCCTTGCCTGGGATTAGGCAGGAAAGGCAACACTAAATCCAGCTGAAATGGGTAACATCTGTATTCCACACCTACGATTTAAGCAACAAGGAAACAATAATTACCTTCAAATAAACAAATCTTTCACAATCTAGAATTGATTAGCTTTCTTACTTACATTTTTAAGATATTCACACTATTCTCTAACTAGTAATAAAGATTCCTAACTCACCCATTTCAGAGAAGATGCTAACAGCCATGTTGGAGACATCAGATGTACATGGTACTTGTGTGTCTTTTGAAGCCGGGTCCTCGTATCTGCTGAGCCCAGTCTTTTTGTTGATATAAACTGTTTTTCCAACAGATGTATCATAGTGATGGAGCCAGTCACTGCATGCTGAGCCATCCTCATCCTCATCCATCTGATGTTCACAGCCGTCGAGTGAAGGTTCAGCTTTATTGTTCTGGCTATTGATCCTGTCCTGGGTAAAATCTGTACAAATGCTGAGAGTGCCTGGGTCTTCTGGAATATTCATACAAGTTTGCTGTGGGATTTCTACATCTTCTTCCATGTGTTGTTTCAAATGACAGAGTTTAGCTGCCAAAGATATTTGACCACCTTTGGGATCAGCTGTAGGTGTTGCTCGGCTTTGAGAGTCTGTAACTTCATCTTGTTTATGTTCTTCACAAGACAAACGAGCAGGGTTTTTAGCCAAGCTCAAATTTTGAGAAAGATTTGCCACAGATTTACCGTACATTTGTCTAAACTTATCGAGCGAATCTGGCAGCTTGAATGCTGATAACTTCCTAACAGGATTAACTTTGGGAATCTTTGATGGGATCACCGTAAACTGGTCTTTGCATGGTTTCTGAGAGGCGCCATGCGAGTTTAAATTAAGTGGCATTTGGCGTTTTGAAGCTGTGAATTTCCTCTCAAACTTTAGCTTTAAATCTTGAACCTGAGATGAAGACCTGTCGCTTCGGGACAGGTCTTTTATCTGTAAACTTTGGTGAACATACGGGTCAGACAAGCTAATCTTTCTGACAGGACCCTGCAATGTGTTACTATTAAACTTTGACTCTAGCTGACATGTTGGAATTTGGCTGACAGGGTGTGAATCGTCACCAATCTGTTGGATTTCTTGCTCACTCCAAACTGCACAGTCTGCTCTGTTTTGCTCGTCTAAATTTTCAGCACTTTCAGAGACTGTTGGCTCGTTTTTCTCATTCAGAACAGTTGATGCAGGCTCCGGATCACAAAGTGGCATCTTCTCAAATTCATTCAAATCCACATCCATTTGCTGACATTGTGGAAATTCATCAGCTCTGCACTCATTGCCGTCATTACCACTCCTACGATGAACAAAACCAGATGACAATTTTATTCCAACACTGCAGTCAATTGTGGTAGAACTAATAGCTTCCTCTTTTTTGTCTGTTCTTTCTGTACCAAAAACTTTAGGGGACGCACAGTCCAGATCTTCTTGATAAAACAAGGACACCAAGTTCTCCCGCTTAAGAAAAGCTTTAACTGCTTCCTCTACGCAAAGCAAGACACCATCCCAGTCTTTAAATTCAACCAGAGTTTTTGCTGGCTCCAGACAGATGTCATACTCCGAATAGGAACACTTTATATTAATGATGTACACCCCATATAGATCCTGATTTCGTTTATGCTTTGGACTCCGAATCAAAGAGGTGCCGTCTGAGTTGTCATGCTTCTGATTGGAGCCGCTCAGCCGGCGCAGGAGACAGTTGAGCAGCTTGTGGATCCGTGTTTTTAGCAGAAGTCTCTCGTTCACATACAGGTACTGCAAACTGTTGTTGTAGTGTCCCTCTTTGCCCAGGTAACCACTCACTTCAAACTGCTTGTGTGTGTGGCTGATGTCTCCCAGTTTCTCTGCCCGGGCCAGGCTGTGTATTTGAACAAAGCGGTGATAGGTGTCTCTGGCTTTTGGAAGCTGCACCATCATGACCCCTGTGAGGTCATTCTTCAGGGTGAAGGACACAGAGGGATGCATCAGGGACACAGCCTCCACTCTCTGTCTGATCCTCTCCCCCTCCATGACTACATCCATTCTCTTCCTACGGACAGGCATGTTGTGATAGAAGTTACAAATGATAACAGTTGTCCCTGCAGAGGGTCGAGCAGTGTCTGCCTCACAGACGCCCATGCTCTGGCCATCCTTAAACAGTTTAACATGAGTTTTCACTGACATTTTGGTCCGGGAGGAGATTTCAACCAGCATGGCTAGAGAAATGATGCTCGCCAGGGCTTCTCCTCTGAAGCCATAACATGTGAGGTTCTCCAGGTCTTCAACACGGCTGCATTTACTGGTGTGGTATCGGATTCCCACACGCTCCATGTCCTCAGCGGTCATCCCGGATCCATTGTCGATCACCTGGACCTTGAACGCATCCATGTCGACCCTGACGCCCACACAGGTGGCCCCTGCATCGATGCTATTTAGAACTAGCTCCTCCACACATTGCTGGAGGGACGGTAAGGCAACACCTGAGCGAAGTTTTCCTTGAACCTCCGCGGGCAAGCACCTTATCATTATGCACACTTTACTTTACATTTCCGAGTCTTAGATAAATACATGCTTTTTTATATAGTTTACAGTTGCTACCAAGCTTACTCACCCATACGATTTAAATAATACACATTAAATCTGTGTTTTTGTGAGTAACAATAATAAATTAAGCTGAAATTTAAATACAACACTGAGAGTACCTCGTATGTTGTAAACATTCAACGTAGCACAAAAAAAGACGTTACTATGACCGTCACCTTTAGCAGCAGCTAAAACGAGTATCGCCACCTTCTGGCTAGTTGTAGTATAACTTATTGTCTATGTCATCGTGTCAACCAATCACAAGGCGAAATTTAGCTACCGCCTGATTTTTTTTTTTTTTTTCATCAAGTCCCGCCCCATGGATAGAACGGAAATGTCACAACCATATTGTGAGTGGCAGACAAAACAAGTAAAATTAATTTTCGCGGTTAGATTGAGTTGTTTAGCTTGGCTTTAGCAGCAAAGGGGTTTACTGTTGAACGTTACACAAACAGAACAAATGAAAAAATATAATTCAACTAATCAGAACTAAATATGGTTAAGAATAAGTGTAAGATTATCATGTAAAACATATTTTTCAACATTATTCTGAAGATAACTTGATAAAAAAAATTATGTAGTTTTATGAATATAGACTTTATTTCATCAAAAATTCTCACCCAAATATATCAGTAACACTGGTTTTGTAAAACTTTAAAGGATTTATCGAAAACCTAATTGAAAATGCACTGCATTTAATTTCTGCAATTCTTCTGATTTTGCTCTAATTTCTTTGCAAATGTTTACATTCACTATGAGGTTTTTGTAAATATGTATTAGGCACGTAAAAATAACATTTCTGGACCCAGCTAAAGATTTTCTTTGATTCAGAAAGCACAATTTCCAGCACTGTTGATGGATGTATTTGTTTTTATTTCTTAAGTATTTGCCCCTAAAGGCCAACACGCAGTCAAAAATATACATACATGTCCTAGGTTAAGGAAAAGGGATTATCTGATAATTTGCAACAAAACCAGAAAAAAATACATAATTAGTTTTACAATTCTTCAAAATAAAACATGTGCAGTCCAATACTGCAACACCCAGTGCACACTCTATGATCCAAAAGCAGGAAAGTTTATTTTACCTATAATATTGTCAATAATTGGGAATTGTAAATATTTACAACTTTAATTTCAGCAGAAAAGCACAAAGGGGAAATTCAAACCATGACATAAGTGTAGTTATGTTTTTATGTCTAAAATAATTCGATCCTCATCCAGGCTGCTCTAAATCCCATTCATTAAATTATTCCATTAGGAAAATTGAGAAAATGCATATGTTCTAATGTGGTTAAATAAATGTAAGGTGTTAAATCAAATAAGACACATCCTTTTACTTGAGTGTTTTAAATCCCATCATTTTAAAATAGTTAATAGCTTAAATAATATTACAGACACAATAAATAGCTCATTTCATTTGACTACATTAAAAGATGAGTGCTCTAGGCTCTCAATAGTTTTCTCATTCCTGAATTCCACCTTTGTGATGCGAGACTTGGGGCTCCCAGTAGATCTCAACCATTCTTGCATTTTTTCCACACTGCTGCGTGGACCTTGTAGCTGCCCCTGCACGGTTCCTGCTTCGGTGTTTTGGACCCATCCAACTAAACCAAGCTTCTTCCCCTCAGCCTAGACAGGGATTTAAAAGAATATGAAATACAATTCAAGAAGGAGGTGAATAAAGGGGGGAAGCAGCTGAGCAAGGAGGTAGGAGGATGTATCAGAAAGAATTTAAATTATATTTGAAACTTTCTCTTTGTAATCAGATATCCATTCAGGTGCATCACAATTAACAGCTTGTGCAAAAACACCAAATGCTTTTCAGTCCATGGTATAATCACTAGATTCAGATAAATGGTAATGGAGAGCTGTTATTAGTATGTGAGTTAAAAACAATTTTTGACATAGTAACATATAATGTATATCTATATATGGTTGGCTAAGCTCCATCCTATGTGTCCAACAGAATACAGGTCCTTCTCAAAATATTAGCATATTGTAATAAAGTTCATTATTTTCCATAATGTAATGATAAAACTTGAACATTTATATATTTTAGATTCATTGCACACTAACTGAAATATTTCAGGTCTTTTATTGTCTTAATATGGATGATTTTGGCATACAGCTCATGAAAACCCAAAATTCCTATCTCACAAAATTAGCATCTTTCATCCGACCAATAAAAGAAAAGTGTTCTTAATACAAACAAAATCCACCTTCAAATAATTATTTACAGTTATGCACTCAATACTTGGTCAGGAATCATTTTGCAGAAATGACTTCTTCAATGCTGCGTGGCATGGAGGCAATCAGCCTGTGGCACTGCTGAGGTGTTATGGAGGCCCAGGATGCTTCGATAGCGGCCTTTAGCTCCTCCAGAATGTTGGATCTTGCGTCTCTCAACTTTCTCTTCACAATATCCAACAGATTCTCTATGGGGTTCAGGTCAGGAGAGTTGGCAGACCAATTGAGCACAGTGATACCATGGTCAGTAAACCATTTAGCATTGGTTTTGGCACTGTGAGCAGCTGCCAGGTCATGCTGAAAAAGGAAATCTTCATCTCCATAAAGCTTTTCAGCAGATGGAAGCTTGAAGTGCTCCAAAATCTCCTGATAGCTAGCTGCATTGACCCTGCCCTTGATAAAACACAGTGGACCAACACCAGCAGCTGACATGGTACCCCAGACCATCACTGACTGTGTGTACTTGACACTGGACTTCCTGCATTTTGGCATTTCCCTCTCCCCAGTCTTTCTCCAGACTCTGGCACCTTGATTTCCAAATGACATGCAAAACTGAGCAACAGTCCAGTGCTGCTTCTCTGTAGCCCAGGTCAGGCGCCTCTGCCGCTGTTTCTGGTTCAAAAGTGGCTTGACCTGGGGAATGCGGCACCTGTAGCCCATTTCCTGCACACACCTGTGCACGGTGGCTCTGGATGTTTCTACTCTAGACTCAGTCCACTACTTCCACAGGTCCCCCAAGGTCTGGAATCGGCCCTTCTCCTCAGGGTCCGGTCACCTCTCTTCATGCAGTGTCTTCTGCCACACTTTTCCCTTCCCACTAAGGTGCCTTGATACAGCACTCTGGGAACAGCCTCTTCATTCAGAAATATCTTTCTGTGTCATACCCTCCAACCTGAGGGTGTCAATGATGGCCTTCTGGACAGCAGTCAGGTTTGGAGTGATGAACCAGGCTGGGAGTTTTAAAGGCCTCAGGAATCTTTTGCAGGTGTTTAGGGTAAATTTGTTTATTCAGATGCTTGGGTGCATAGATCGTTTAGAGACCTTTTCATGATATGCCAATTTTGTGAGATAGGAATTTTGGGTTTTCATGAGCTGTATGCCAAAATCATTATTATTAAGACAATAAAAGATCTGAAATATTTCAGTTAGTGTCCAATTAATCTTAAATATATGAATGTTCAAGTTTTATCATTACATTATGCAAAAATAATTAACTTTTATTAAAATATGCTAATATTTCATGGAACCTCTATTTCAGCTGACTTGCAGCCTATGATAGTTTTACTTGTGGGTCCTTGACCGTCTAGAAACAGGGGATCTCAGTATTTCATCATTAGGAAGAATGTTTTCTACTTTTAAAATGACCATAATAACACATTGCAACAACTAACAATCAAAAACAGGTGGATTAAAAACAGGTAATGTAAAAGCTGAACAGGCAAACTATTATACCAAAACAAACGAGGCCTGGCCTTCAATGTCGAACTCACTTGAGTGTATTTTCGAAAAAATACTCCTTGCACTTTGCCAAAAACTTCGTAATCCACAGCAACAAGCTCCTCTTTGGACATAACGGATCTAAACAGACGTAATAAGAGTCTCTGTGAATGAGAGATACACGACTGGGGTTCTTTAAAGCTTGCTAGGTAAGGATAACATGGTTACCTTATGTTTCTACGGCTTCTTTCTATCTTTGCTTTGTATTATTTATCCGGGACCAGTGTGAGGCTCCGTTCCAACAATTTAATTAACCTTTAATTTAATAAATATACTCGTATGTCATTCAAATACCGCCATGCACGGAATGATCTCGTTTTTAAAACATACGGGACTCGATCACAGGAAGTGACGTTTGAAGGACCAATCAGAGCAAACAGAATCGTTTGGTTTCTAAGCAACAGAACTAAGCGTTGAAGGACTTATTTTGCTTTTTCTTTTTTCTAGTAAAATATAAGAGGGAGGATGTCTACAACTCTTACTTAATGTTTAGATTGAAATGGTTTTTTTTTCATTTAGGGATTTTTTTTAAGCTGATGAGTAAATAAAATATGCAAAAAGCACAGAAATGTACCATTTTTTCTATGTATTTAAACTGATCAAAATCCACATTTCTGTTTTAGAGATTTTAACACTATATAAAGGGACATTTTTTAAATAAACTAGCAAAATTTAAATGTTTTATAATTTTGTCACTTATTTCAGATAGTTAAGCTCATAGATTGCCTACATAGAAAAATAATGTGTTATATTGTGAGAATATGGCAAGCCTTTATTTAATATATGTTTGGATAATTATGGTTTACAGGTAATGAAAACCCAAAAATTAACTTCTGTGAAGATTTCAACATGGCAAAAAAGCTAAATATGAAAACTCATGGTCTTGCACCAGATCAGCTAATTACCTGAAGAAAAAAAATAAATTGTATTTTCCTATCAAAATTGTCAGTCTGGGTCAGTAGGTCACACATTAATGAATCTAACACACTGAAGCATAATTTTTTCTTGAAATAAGTATTTTCCCATGATTTGATGGTGTAAGACAATTTGTAAAGGTAATGATATAATTTACATGTAAAAACAAAAAACATACAATTAAATTGTTAGGAAAGAAAAACTATCATTAGCAGATCATCGTATTTACCTGCTACTACAAGTTTTATGAAATAAGTACTTATTTGTACATCATTTTGCAGTGCTGTAGGTGCTCTAATTATAGATCATTTGGTCAACATTTTTATCCAAGTTTCTGATTTAACAGGAGCTGTAAATATTTATGGTAAATCTTAGAGCTAGCACTTAAAGTATTCTGTTTGTTTGGTCCTTGTTTTGGACAAAGATGCAACTAAAATATATTAAAACCACAAAGGTAAATTCCTAGTTGGGAAAGGAGGAACTAAGACAATCACATCATGGATGCTTTCAAATGGCCCCAATCCATTCTCTCCCTTTATTATGTGAACAATGTGATATCTTTTTAGCGTGATACCAATGCCCGATTAACTAAAACACACACACACAAAAAAAAAAAAAAAAAAAAAAAAAAAAAGCACACCAAGGAAGAAACTGAAAAGTATTAAATAAATGTTCAAACTTTTAGGCAGCTGTGTTTTATTTCTGGTTTGGACACTAAACACAATTGAGGGATGATGAAACATGTTGACAGAACCAATGACGGTAAACATACAGCTGGTGAACTACAGACAAAAAAAAAAAAAAAAGCATCTAACACAACCAAATATAACATCTTCCCTAAAGCACAGTATTGTCATATTTGCAGTTGTTCTAATTCATTGGTTTACTGCATAGAAACGCTGCAAGTGTGAACTAATAACAGCTCACATGCCCATAGACTTGGGAAAACTCTGCAGCTATAGAAGCGGTCCTGGTCATAGGTTTCACAACAAACATTTCCCCTTGAAATTTAAAAAAAGGGTTGGAAATAAAGTGCTCAAAGTAGAAACAAACACACAAAGAAAAAAAAAAGATAATAAGGTACAAAGTACAGTCTTTCGCATCATCAGAACAATATTGTACTAAACAAGGTGGTGCTTTCATCCTGGAAAAATGGTGAGGAAAAAAAAAAAAAAAAAAAAACAGAAGTCTGGTGGTAAAATAATTGAATCTTCAATGACACGCTGACCCAAAATATCTGATATCTGTTGGTTAAACAGCAAATGAATGAAAATCTTCCACAATCTAGAGGAAAAACAATAGACATCTATTGTACATATTGTGTGCATAAAAGTAAATAGCAAACTTGACTCACCCCCACCAAAAAAAAAAACATACACAATCCAATAAAACAGTTCTGCTTTTATAAATGATGCAGAAAAGGTTACATTTACACATTTAAAAAGTATAAAATAGAAACATAGGCTTGAAAAGCAAAGAAGGAAGTCCGTCTGTAATGTAAATGTTATGATAAGGACCACATGTAATACAGCTTACAGAAACTGTTCAAGTGTTCAGAACTCCCCAAAGGTAAACACTCACCTTTAATAACATATTTAAAGGCCTAAACATGTGTTACAAAAATAAATCAGTAGTTTTGTGTTTCACACTATTATTTTTAAAAATAGAACATGCAAGCTTGTAAAGTAGTATATATTTAACTGTGAAAGGCAAGATGTTAAATATATATTTCAAAAGGCTGTTTAGTTAAGGCCACAGAAGATAATCTGACACGTTGGACATAAGTGATTCCTGAAGCTTTGTGTTCACACTGATGATGCAAACGGATGAGCTGCCCACCCTCTCATGTGGGATCCATCAGCAAAGAGTTCTCTGCCTGCAGGAGCTAATCCAGACTATTATGTAAAATAAAAAAACAACTAATTTTTAGTCATAGATAACTGAAGACTCAGTGCTGAAACTGAAAGGAGATAGTATCCCGACAGCAGAGCTAATCTGTGTTCAGATTGTCTCTCATATATTAAGGTTTGGTGGATCTTGTGGAACCCATGCAACATTTCAGGAGAAACCCAGGAGAAACGTTTGCATGTAATACATATTATTTATGTAAAACTATCATCATACAGCATTGCTTTGATGTTGGTTTAAATCTCACACACTGGCTCCAGCAGATCTGCCCCCATGGTTTGTCAATCCGGATCTTCTCCTGCTTACTACTTTGCTTGTCACGGGTTCAGAGCGACGGTTTCCGTTTCGGTCTTTTTCCTGCTGCTGGGAGCGATTGATTGCCGCCCACAGCTTTTCATTTTCCTTTTGCTGCTCCCGGATCTAGAGGCAGAAACACAATATTAATATATAAATACAAACATGCTGCCAATTAGGTCTATTTACTAAATAAATACAGTAGTTGTTTGCTATAAACAAAGATGACACAAATTTCATTAGCCAGACACCAGTACTATTTAACTGGTCGCTAACATTTTCACTTTAATAACTAATGCATTCTGCAAATAAAACGTCATCTACTGATTATATGCTTCCATGAGGCATTCCATACATAATATGAAGTAGTCTCTTCACTAAAAGTAAGTTTTATTGTTGTTACATTTTATAAAGTTCCTGCAGCTTTGCTTTTACATAACAATTTAAACAGTTCCTTAATTATTTAAAGCAACCCCCATTGAAACATTCTTTTGCTATTACAGCTAATATGCATTGGGTGTTGAATACTTTTAGATAGATCTACTTTCATTGCTTCTTAAGTTCAATAGAAATAAAAAGATGGTGTGGAAAAAAAGAAATACCTGCTTCTCAAGCATCTCAATCCTCTTCTCTTGATTGGAAACCGTTTCTTTTAGCTGTAAAATGAGCCAAATTGTCTTTTATACTGTGGGTTAAATTAAGTAGCTTGTGATTTTCCCTGATAAGTGTGTACATGTTCTACCTGAGCCACCTCGCTGCTGGCTTTACAGCATGCACCGTACTCCCCATTTGTGCTCCCATCTAAACATTTCAGTTTATCACAGCTCAAGCGTCTTGTCTGCAGAGGCAAACAAAATAAATTATCAGTTTTTCACATTTTCAAAAGCAGAATTGTGAAAAACAAATATAAATCATGACTTTTTGTCTATTAGAGGCATATTACCTCTGATCCTGCCTCACTGCTTACAGCCTCTGCTGCCGCCGTGAGCTCTTTCAGCTCTTCATACGGCCGAGTTACGCTTTCCGAAACGGACAACAGCTGGTCATGAGAAGACTGCTCCGAATCCTCTGGCATTGGGATATACTCTGCATCCTCTAGCTCCTGTTGGGGAAGAACATCTTGAATATTTGAGTGACCTAAAAATCACATAAAGATGTAATGTTTTTGGTTCTTTCATGGAGACACTAAAATATAGATTTTGAGCGTAATGACAAAAATTCTTGATGTGATTAGTCTTAACCAGATACTGGACACGCAGAAACTAAAAAATCCCATCCTTTTTCAATTAATGAATGCACCTTACGTAGGCGCTGATTAGTTTTGCTTACAACAACACTGTTCGCTTAGGTGTTCATGTTGCAATTAACTTAACAATAGCAACATATTGAGGTGTTTAAAAACTAATGGAAATTATTTAAAAGGAAACTAATGCATATCGTTTTAGCAAAAGAATTTGAATTAAATAAGAACCTCTGTCTTGACTCGCATTCACCACTGATTCTACAATAATCAACCAATGACCACTGCTGGCTCCAAGAATGGAAAATATTTCTAAAGCTGTTTTTACATATTGTTATAGTTATTATAGCACTAACAGAAAAAAACATTATTGGTATTCCAATCAATGCTACTCTATAGCAAACCTTTCTAAGCCACAGAGGACAAGAACTGTCCCCGGTCTGGTTTCCAAAAGTCATCATTGGTGCATCTGTGAGGCCCTCTTCTGTGTTGACCTCCCGAGTTCCTCCAAGGCTGCCGCTGCGACATTCCGTCTCCGATTCAGGTTCTATATCCAGATCCTCCAATGAAGTCGATGCCTCCTGGCCAAGCCCTTATTTTAGACACAACTGTATGTAGCCATTAGACCATTCAAAAGATCTAAGCCGTTTCTAGTGGTAGAGAAAAAATCATACCAATTGATATTCCACTGCTATTTGAACGGATGGTCTTTGAGTTGAGTACCTTTTCTAAAAAAAAAAAAAAAAAGGAAAATTGTTAAGGTATTTTGATTAATTTGCTTGAGCCGTGTTTTTTATCTGTTTCTAATAACTTACCCATAATGATAATGGTATGCCAGCCTCGGCAGGAGAGGTCAGGTACATGGTGAAGGGAACCAAATATAGGCCTTGGCATAGCAGGGCAAACCTCTGAACCAAATCCTTTGTCTGCAGGCATTCCAAGTCGTCCATTTCCTGCATTTCCCCATGCAAATATCTGATTGTCTAAAACATCAGGGGGGAAAAATACCTGATGACAGAGTCCCACAGCTTGACATAAAACCTTAAACATCACACTTTCTGCAAAAGATTTTTCCCACCTTCAGTGGCTGCAATGGTGAATCCATCTCCACAGGACACTTTGTTTACCGTCTTCCCTCCAAAAGGTCCAACAAGGAGCTGGACGCCTTGGTGACGCTTGAAGTCCTTCACACCCAGCTGCCCATACTTGTTGCAACCAAAAGTTATCAGACGACCTCGTTCTGCAAGGCCAGAATAAATCAATCATAAAAAAAAAACTGTTTAAAATAAATTCTCCTGAAAATAGAGAATCTTTTTTGTACCATCAATGGCAGCTGTATGGCTCTTTCCCGGTGCTATGGCTTTAATTTTGAAGCGTGACAGCTGTTTGACCAAGGTCAGCGTGGTGATGTACGGTGTCCCCTGATAAGCCTGAAAAGTAATAATGAAAGAAAGGAAGCTTGTGAACGTGCCTGTACTATCTGAAGCCTATTGCTGCGGCATTAGAAGTACAGGTTAGTACCTCTCCGGAGTGGTTTTTGATACCAGAGATGCCCTGGTTCAACCCCAGCTTGTTGAAATCGTTGTTTCCACATGCCAAGACTTTGCCCATCGCCGTAAGAAAGAAGGTTCCATCGCTGCCACACGACACAGAGGAAATGCTCGCACCTCTAGGAACTTCCACCTTAAAAAGTACACATGACCTCATATGTCAAGAGACAGAAACATCAATTGTTTTTACTAGGATATTTCAAAAAGGGGGAAAAAAAGAACCCCCACAAAAGTGGGGAGTCTTACTTTCATTGGAGAAGAGAAATCATCCTCACACTCAAGGCCAAGACGCCCTGAAACAGGAAACCAATAGACTTAATAGTACTTTTTATAATATCTTTACAATACCGAGAAGACTAGTGAAACCAAACAAGCCTGTCAAATATAAAGAAAGCCTTCTGAAGAGATCAGTTTCTCCACCTTGTAGCTAAAAGTATACCACCTCAACAAAACGCTAGATACTCCTCAGGACAGGACTCAGCTGTTCCCCTTGTGGGTTTGTTCAATACGCTGGATCTAATCAGAGCATAAGAACGCCAGTACTAGTGGCACAAACCAAGAGAAGCCAAAATAAATGCTGTGCCAATTACAACAGTGTTTGTCACAAAGACCAAATAGACAGAGACCCGTTGACTGCTGTTACACAGGGAGCGGGTAAATGTAATATTACAGACACAGGAGGCAGGTTTATTAGCGCTTTATCCATATTTGACATTTATCCATATTTGCAAAAATTTTACATCCCTGGAACATTTTGGATATCTTTCATTAGACTTGCAGCTCACGTAAACACACCAACTCGGCATTTAGCGAAGGAAGTAAATGCTTGCCAGGCCATCCTCTCTTAGCTATGGTAGCTAAGGTATTATTGATCAGGGGCAGGACGCAGTGAAGGATGAATTATGCTACAACCACCAAATAATTCATATTATTTAAGTAAAGCATAGCTGTGAAATAGAAGTAGAAGAATGATCTTAACTAAAAACATAAATCTGAAGTGTGTGGAGTACATTTGTGCTTTACTGTGAGTTCATATCTGCAGACCCATCTCTCAATGTTTATCTACTTGAAGTTATTTCATCAGTATGTTTGACCATTCTTCTTTGCAGAGGCAGAACCTCGGTCAGATAGGATGACCTGATCTATTTTCAAGTCTTGCCTCAGATTTATTTGTTGGACTTGTCTGGATTTTGACTATTTATTTTATTGAACTTTATAGATCTCACATTGGAGAAATTTACCTCTGCATTTAATCCATCCCCGCGGGGAGCAGTAGGCTGCCACTGTGTAGCACCCGGGTGCAGTGTGGTGTTAAGGGTCTTGCTCAGGGACCCAGAGTGGAGGCTGTGGGGATCAAACCGAGTACTTCCAACCTTCTCACAAGCGCACCGCTCTAACCACTAGGCCAACACTCCCCGGCCAAACTCTGACACTCGAACAACAGTCTTTACCTAAAACATTTCATGGTAGCTCCAGTAGGTTTGTAGGTTTATAGAGGACAGGATTTCCCTTTATTTAGAAAATTCAGTTTGGTCTCCCTGTCCCTATTGAGACAAAAAAAATCCAATCTCACTGTAGGGACGCTTGTTAGGGCTGATGTGCAACTTTAGTATCTCTGCCTCTCATAAGATTTTGCTTGAGGTCAACACTTTTCCTTATTTTTGCCATGTCTTCCAATTGTTTGAAGAAAAACTGCAGACAGAACTTTTTATGACTGTTTTCTCTCTTTAGCTGCTCTACAGTTACAACAGGACTGCTCTCACCCTGTCAGTCAACCTTGGGAGACAGCAAGCTCAATTCGGGGCAGTGGAAACTCGTGATGGCACTTCCAGTGGCAGGTCGGGCTACCATGCCGTAGTACTGGCAACTGCCAGTAGGCAGTCAGATCGGCTCAAACGTTTACTGCCGCAATTTTGAGGGCTGCAAAAGCCCAAGTCATTTCAGCAAATTACTTGGTTATATTTCTCCTAGATCGATTATTGTTTTAGCCTGAGGCTTTCACAATAATACTGGATTTATACTAAGATTTAGCTGGGCTCTATTTAACACTAACTCACTAACTTAAAAGTTTATAGAGTATTTATTTATGGGTATCAAGTAAAGAATGTCAGACAACACAATTTTCAGATTTTTATCAATAAAATCTTCAAAAACTAAAATAAATCAAAACCATATTTTTCCTTTAGGTTTACAGCTATGTTTTATTTTCTGTAAAAGAAAATAAAATCATGTCCTGTATAATAGCATCCCGACGTACCGTACTCTCCGCAGCCCCACGAGTAGATGCCACCATTCTGTGTCAGCACCACAACGTGGTTGTCTCCGCAGGAAACCTGCCGGACATGGCGGTCCTCGAAAAACTCCAGAAGCACCGGCTCCAAAATCTCCATGCCCATTGTGCTTTCAACACCAATGCAGCCGTAGTAGTCCGACCCAAACATGTAGAGCTGGTCTTCATCTGAGATACAGGAAGCAGGATTTGTAACATAACTTTTACACTTGCAGGCAATTATTGCGATAAGCTTAGAAAAAAATCTCTAACTCACCCGTCACACAGGCAGTGAAGTCAGCCCCACATGCAACCTGCCTGACCGCCTTCCCCTGAAGCTTCTCCACCCTCTTTGGCTGTCGGTAAGACGCCTGGTCCCCATGCCCAAGCTGGCCCACCATCTTTGCTCCACCTTGCACATTCTGAGGATGTAAAGTTTCTTTAAACAAAACAAATAATAATAATAAAAAAACCACTGGCCGTTTCTCAATTCACAAGAATGCGGGTATGAAGTTGTGTTCTCGCCAAGTATGTTCTTGACAAGACAACAGGAATGTGTACTTGGGGAGCACACAGCATAAATCTGGGTCAATTGGAACAGAAGCGTACTCGTGACGTCACCACATGCATTTCACCTCCTGTTAGCCTTGGAGCTCTGCTAGGAAAACACGATCCTCTCAACATCAGAACTTTTTTTTTTTTTTTAACTACACACTAAATCAGTAAATGGGCCATATAGTGAAGTTTAAAAGTATAATGTTTTTGCCTCAAATTAAAACCCACTTTTACAGAACATCAGCAACAGAAAAGAGATCTTTTAACTTAATAATCTGAGTTTTGTGAGCGCTCCACTGGAAGCTGCTGCTGCCGCAGTGCATTTGTCCGTTCTCGGTCTTGTGTTTTTCGGAACTGGAACAGTACTAGGGCTGAGGCCGGTGACGTTTCATGAGCACACGAGAACGCACAAGTACACATATTGAGAAACGGCCACTGTCTACTTTAAGGACTCATACTTACAGCCCATGTATACAGCTCCTTTTCCACAGTCACCACTGCAAAGTGATTCTCCCCTGCGCACACATGTTGGGCGCCGCTGCCACCTTTGAAGGAGTCTAGCTTCTGGGGGGTGAACTTTCCTCCTCCCCAATAATAAACGTCCCTTGAGCGTGTCGTCACCACAGCAACAGGAGTCTCACTCACTGTGCTCAGCCTAAAACAAGAGAACAGCAACACGGGTGGTAACTGATGAACAGGAGGCTTTTACTACATTTAACACACAATGTCTCAACTTACTTTGGTTTTTTCATCGCTGAATTCAGCATAACAACTCGCTCCTCTAGCTCCCTAAAAGCAACACAAACTGTTCAGGTGAATCACAGACATTCGCAATCAGATGTATCCACCGCTCCTAAGTAAAGGGTCTTACTGTCGGCAGGAGGATATTAAAGGCTGGTCCAGGATTTCATCTGCAGTAGGCCTCTTTGCAGGATCCTGAAATATGATCATTAAAGGGGTCCCAATTTTAAGCAAAGACTTTTTCTATAAGCAGTGTTTAAGAATAAGAATCTGATTATATGTCTGACTCACTTGATTGAGGCACTCGTACACCAACTGGATTAATCCACTCCCATAAATATCTGTGTTCACATCCATCGTCCAGTTTCCTTGGACGATTTTCACGCACAGGTTTAGAGGGTTCTATGCAGACAAAATGTCATTATAGTGGGAAAATAGGTGATGCAAATGCATGCATCAGGTCATGATAAAGAGAAGAAACCCACCGTGGCATCAAATGTCTTCCTAAGCGTCATAACTTCAAAAAGGACACAACCCATTGCCCAAATGTCTGATTTGAAGTTGTACTTTGAACCCTGGCACAGCTCAGGTGACATGTAATAAGGAGTTCCCACACACTGGAGATGGCATAAGGAAGGCAGAGAGAAAGAGTGATCTTAAAACATCATAGGGGGCTTTTGTTGTAATAATGTAAGAGAGTCTGTTAAACAAATGTCTGAGAACTGTAGGGGTGGGGGCTCACTGTCTCTGCCATCGAAAACTCAGAGTCTAGCTTCTTTGCAAGGCCATAGTCTCCCAGTTTCATGAGGTTGGTCTTTGTTAGGAAAATATTCAGAGTTTTGATGTCTCTAAAGGCAAGACAGTCAAATTGACATGCATCAGTCATCTACAGTGGCAAAGAAATACATCTGCCAACCTTTTACTACATTCTGACAAGTCACAACCCTCAATTTCATGATTTTTAATGGGGATTTCATGCAATGAACAAAGCAGTACATTAGATTACAAATGTTAAAAGAAATAAACTCCAGAACAAGGTTACTATAATTCAGTTTAAGCCATAAAGAGACATTATGGTCAATTTTACTGAAAAAATACTGTATCTTCACGTATCTAGCCTTTTTATTTTACCAGTTCCATCTAAGGCTACGTTCACACTGCAGCCTGAAGTGACCCAAATCCGATTTTTTTTGCCCATATATGACCTGGACCTGAAATTTTTAATGGCAGTCTGAACAACACAGATCTGATTTCTTCCAACGCGACACAGGCCACTTTGCTATGTGGTCCTGAATCCGATACGAATCTGATCTTTTCAAATGCGACCTGTGTGTGAACGGCCAGGTCGCATTCATCCGACCTGAACGTCATTAATACCCCACAAAGGTCACTATTCTGCATCTTGCTATGAAGAAGCGGCAAGACAAACAACAACCATGGCAGATGATGATGCGGAGAGCAGTATTTATGTTTAAACATATAGAAAAGATTGTGTTTTTATGGTTTGAAAAGACCGCTAGATGCACGCCGGCACTACCATCCATGTTTACTTCCGGAAAAAAAAAAAAAAAGAGCACGCTGGCCTGTGACGTCAATGCGTCCTCTATTGCTCATGCGGGACACTTGCATTGTATGACTGCTGTTCACACAGGAGATCACATACAAGATGCATATATTCGGAAATATGAACGGCAACGCGAAAAAATCGATTTCACAAAAAAATCAGAATTGAGCATCAAGGCCTGTAGTGTGAACGTTTCTTGATAAGTAGACTGACACCTCAGTAGTTCAGCGTAGATGCATCTATAAGCCTGTAGGCTGTTTTCCTTGATTTATTTTGCTGTTCGGCAGATGTGATGACAAACTTGTCCATGTTAAATAGGTCCGACCTAGCAAACATTCGAAGTGTTATATTCAAGATGGATTTTGTGGATACTCAGAAGCGAACAGCTCAACTCAAAAACAAAGGTATCTCGAGTTAGTGGAAAAAAGTAATTAAACAACTTCACAGTAGGGCTGCAACTAATGATTATTTTGCAAATCGGTTGATCTGTTGATTATTTTTTCGATTAATCGAATTATAATAGGATAGCAAAACGTTCCTTACAGAAGTTTTGTATTAAATTAAACAAGGTAAAACTAAAAAGTTTCCACTTGAGGAGTTCTGGATAGAGCATATTGACTGACATTTCTTTCTTTTTTTTTAACTTAAATACAAAATGTTTAGATATTTTTTACAATTTTGATATTATCACTGCTCTAAGTGGGTCGCTCTGTTAGCTAAAGGCATGTTTTAGAGTCTCTATACTCCAGTTAACGATTAATCGATTACTCAATTAGTTGACGAATAATCAATTAATCCGATGAATTCTTTCAGCCCAACTTCACATAATCAGCGATTGATTGAAAAGGCTTTTTATTGCCGATTTGAAATAACCATTATTATTATTTTTGACATCAATCTATCAAATGAGCTGATTATGTTTTTTAGAGAGACAGATTTTATTTGTCATTTTGTTTATACAAGTATAAAAACAAAAATAATTTTCGTTTGGAAACGGCTCTCTCTGATGATTGTTTTGGTAAATGGTAAATGGCCTGTACTTATATAGCGCTTTGATCAAGTCAGGAGACTTGATCAAAGCGTTTTACACTACATTCAGTCATTCAGCCATTTACACACACACTGATGGTGGCAAGCTACATTGTAGCCACAGCTGCCCTGGGGCTCACTGACAGAAGCGAAGCTGCCGTACACTGGCACCATCGGGCCCTCTGACCACCATCAGTAGACAATGCAGGTGAAGTGTCTTGTCCAAGGACACAACAACACTGAAAGTCGGAGCATGGTCTTGAACCGTCAATCCTTCAATTTCAGGGCAAACTCCTACATCCAACACCACTGTTTTGGGGCTAATTGCTTATTCTTCCTCAGTTACGATGGTATAAATGACAAAATGATAAATACTAAGCAAGTCTCAATTTGAATAAAAAACAAACATGTATTAACAATCAAACAAAACATTAAAAATAGATGGTAAATGCAGGGAGCGAAGTTTGCACACGTCATCTCAAGTCATGGCTGCCGAATGCATTGATGAATCAGTGAATGATTCATCAATGCATGTATCAGAGAGAAATAAACCTTGATATCAGCCCAAAATAAGAGCCGGCCGACACGTGGGTCTACCTCTACACATAATTAATTTATTATTAGAGCTAATGAGCAACAATATTTCTGTTTGTTTTTACCCTTTACAACTCTGCACTACTGTGGTCTATCAAAAAAAAAAAAAACAATCAGATAGCTAAACCAGAACTGACTAGATCAACAACATGACTGACAAGATCCTTTAAATAAAAGAGCAAAAACCTTACCGATGTATGACCCCAGCCTTGTGAATGTAGGCCACTGCAGAGGCTAATTGGTACAAGTACCATATAATAATCTGCAGACACATTTTTAGAGATTAATAACAATACCACACATGTCTGTTTAAAATTAACAAACCAAACACAATAGTACCTCTTCAGAGAAAAGCTTCCCCCTTTGCTGGATGATTTTGTCGTTCAGATTTCCACCTGTGAGGACACAGCTATTAGGGATTCTTCCTCCCAAACTAATCCACGGAACCAACCATCAGCCTTTACTTCCTTACCGTTGCAGTACTCCATCTCGATCAGCAGAGTATTTCTATCCATGAAGTGATTGAAGTAGGCAATGATGTTGTTGTGCTCCAGCATGGCGAGGATGCTTATTTCATTCATGACTTCTCGGCGGGTCTTCTCCGAGAGCGAGTTCAGGTCCACCTCCTTCCACACAACCAGGGAGTTGTCCTGTCAAGAGTGCACAAGAGGGTACTTTAAAGAAATGCAAGGACAGAATATGACCAAAAAGAAACATAAGAGGAATGAAAAGAAATGAATTGATACTAGACAAAAAAATATAAATGTTTAGAACTAGAAATATCTATTTTGTTCCAATAAGAAACACCCTTTAGAGAACATGAATGGGCTTTTGGAGATACTGAAGGTGATATTCAGTGAGTTATTTAGATTAACATGATTATATTTTTCTAGCAGACCTGAACAGAATTACTGGACCGCACTAGGGCTGAAAGAATTAATCGGATTAATTGATTGTTGACATAATCGTCAACAAATTTAGAAATAAATTAATCATTAACTGGAGTATAGAGACTGTGAAACATGCCTTTAGCTGACAGAGTGACCAACTTATAGCAGTAATTATACTAAAATTGTAAAAAAAAAAAAAAGAAATGTAAAGATTTTGTATTTAAGATAGAAGACCGTATATTGAAAAAGTACATGCACATGTATTCTGCTGCTACTTTACTGACAAACATAAGTTAGATAAGATCTACGTTTTTTTTTTCTTTTTCGTTTTTTTAATCAAGTCATTGCAGCAGTTTGGAAACCTCATCAATAAAGATGGGGGTTGTTGTGTGTTGGTTAGACTTGCCTTGTTTGATAAAACTATTATTTCATCAAAAAAGCAAAACAAAGGCTTTTGAGTGGCCTAGTCAAAGTTTGAACCAAATCTAATTTGGCTCATTTGCCCACGATCTTAAGATTTTAAAACCTGTCAGTGAAGATGAATTAAAACAATTCAGCAAAGATGAGCAGACCAAAACGTAACCTAAGAGACCCACTGGCAGTTCTCACATTGTCTGTCTCATATGAAACACTGCTTGAAAACAAAAGAAATCAGTAATGATCTGTAAACAGGCATGCATACATATGTTCTTTCACTTCGTTGTTAAATTACTTTTTAAAAAGGGAACTCAAATCCCTGGAAAGTAGAATATTTTTGCTCAGTATTCATATAGCTAGAATTACTTTGGAAAGGAAACCAAACACAGATATATTTTATAGTCTAATCCGTGGGGTCCACAGAGGTACTGCATGGGGGTCGTAAAGTTTTGGTTGATTAGGTTCATTTTATTTTTTCCTGCAATTTTTGTCCACTTGAAACGTCTTTAAATACACATTAACATGAATTCAACACCGTAGTAAACAGATAAATGGAGGCAGAAGATGCCTTTTAGTCATCAATGCACACATTGAGAGACATATAGGAGCTATTTCAAGCTGGACACCGTTTCATTCACAACACCTGTCCCATCAACGAGGAATCAGAATCAGAAATAGTTTAATAATCCCAGGGCGAAATTGCTTTCATTACATTACTCTATATGTAATAGAGCAGCTATAGAACCAGTTTGATATAAGACAATTTCATACAATATATATAATTGGGGGTCCTTGGCCTGGAAAACGTTGAAGAGCCCTGGTCTAATCTGAAAATCTGCTTTGACTTTGAATTTTGATTTGTATTCTTTAGGTTTTGAGAATTTAGAAGATAAAACTGAGACACAATTTAAGAGGATTTTTTTTTTAATTAAGAGCATTAGTGCTTATTTATCAAGAGTTGATAAGGCTTTAAGCTAAAAAAGAAGACACATTAAAAAAGAGAAGGATTTTAGTCGGTCAGTCAAAATGGCATCATTAGGTCTCTTCTAACCAGGGTGTTTTAATCTACCTTTTTGTTGTGCCCTCTACATACCTTATAGTCCAAAACAAATTGCTAATATTAACCTTTTCCCCCTAGTATTGGCATCAGTTAACAAGTCCCTGATAAATTAGAGTATTCAGCAGACATAGCTTGAGATAGTGTAAAGACCATGCATTGCAGCTCTTGCTCTAGCTTTTGTGTGTGTGTTTTTTTTGTTTAAATTGAGACTTGCTCGTCATTTATATCATACAAAATAAGTAAGAATAAGCTAGATCAGCTTCTATAATCAGCAGGGATTGATGTCAAAACAGTCTATATGGGCCTTAAAAGCGTTGACATCTGCTTTGTATGGCTTTTTGTTTCCACCAGAGCTGTGAATCTCTGAAGCTCCTCCAGTGCTGCAGGTCTAATCTGAATTCTCCCCTGGCAGGGCCTGTCTATGTTTAGGTTGAAGGCCATGTGTTGTCATCCACTGAATTTGGACTAGGTAACAAACATGTGGACTCCACTGATGAGGTGACCTCTGAAAACAAATGGTTGCGTTTACATTTAAACATACTAAAGTAAACAAGGTTAAACACGAATGTAAACCTTATTAACAGAAAAGTTTGTAACCCTTTACTTCCACTTCTTTGTGTGCAAAATCCCAAATAAGTGCATTAAAGGCTAAATAATAAGAAAAACATGTTAGGTTATAGAAATGACTGAGTTCCATTTTTTTGTCTCTGCTAACCTACTTACCTCCGTCCTTCTGTAGAGGGTGGCTTCACCAAACGCCCCCTTTCCAAGGATCTTGATAGGAATGTAATGCAGCTTCTCCTCCTCGCCATTAAATGTGCCTGAAGCTGATCGCTCGCTGACCACAGACCCTCCGTCCAAATCTGAAGTCAGCGAGTCGAAATGTCTCTCAAAGTCCTCCAAAGACATTTCTGCTAGTGCAGTTAACTACAGACAGAGGGGTGGAAATAACCCGACAAGGCCTAACGACAGCACTTAATAAAATACTTATATAAAAGTGCGCACACATGTACCATATTAGCCCCTTCGACCATAGGAAACAGTTGGTGAATTAAAAAAAAGTCCGCCAGACTCCTCCAACATGTAACACACACCGCCACAAATAGATATCGTAGCAAAGAGTTTAACTACAGGAGTTATAAAAATATCAAGTGCCATATATTACGGTGAAGAAGCGAAGTTAACTTTTTTTTTGGACTTTCAAAATAAGACACCCCAGGTTTAAACGCACTGTGGTTGATTTAAATGTGAAGGAACAGGAGCCTACTTCCGGTTAAGTTTATTGTCCGTGTCAACGGTAAACTTGATTTAGCCAATGGGCTAGCAAGAAAGGCAACCTTCAACTAAAATCGACACATTTTCATATTTCTGATGATTTTTATTCTTCTCTAATTAGCCAGCTTTACATTTTAGAATCCAAAGGCTGAAGACAATTAGAGCTAAACTATCTTAGAATACGGCGCAACAAAAACACCGACAACAGCTGCGTCACTTCCCAAAGCACAAATCCGGAAACTATAAAAAAATACTTTTTTTTTCTTTTTTTTTTCTTTCTTTCTTTTTTTTTTTTTTTTGAAAAAAAGACATTCATTTGCATTTTCAAGTAGGAATCTCCACTTTTATTTCTTACAAAAAAGAAAAATGAAAATAACAGTTATATACAGGAGATCAACTTAACTTGTGCAATGCAACAGAAATAAATAAATAAATAAATAAATAAATAAATAAATAAATAAATAAATAAATAAATAAATAAATAAACAGGCAGTAATATTACAACCAATGGAAACATACAAAACTTAAAAAATTATTAAATTAAAATAAAATTCAGACTCATCCTGCAACAACACAGTTTCTTGCATCATGTTAACTTTAGCAATTTTGTGAGTCAAAAAAACAGAAATTTTGACATGTCACTACATAGTTTTTGTCAATAATTGTCAGCTAACAGAGACAAAGATGAATAGAAGATTTTGAGCTTGCTTTTGAAACTCATTAATGAAGGTTTTTGATTTTTTTTCCAATTAACGTACATGTATGTGGTATCTTCCCATACTTATAACAATATGGACCATGTCAGATAAATCCTTAGGAATGTCATTCTTGTATATTAATATTTGACTCAAAAGGTGTTATATTATCTATTTTGTTACTTAACCAAATTTGCAGGTTCTGCCAAAAACAACCTGTGACTCGACACGAATAGATGTTCAATAGTTTCTGGTTCTTCAAGGCGAAATATGCAGGCATCCACCTCAAATCCAAATCTTTTCTTAAGAGTTTCTGCTGTTGGATAATAACTATTAATAATTTTATATGGTATTTCTTTTACTTTTGGTGGAATTTTTTTGCCATTTTAAATATCTAAAATATTTCCCTATGTTACCTGAATCATTTATAATTCGAATGTCTATCATTCCAGTAAAATTATGTCCTATAAAATGATTGTTACACTTTTTATCTCTAATAGGCAGTTGCTCAACTTTTAGTTTTGGCAAGACTCCTTGTATATTTGACTGAGAGATTGTGCTTCGTATTAGATGCAACAGAGCAGCAGGTATTATTTTGCATACTTTGTTAAAATCTGTGAATGAACATTGGATACCACATTTTTTTTAAAAGGTGTTAAAATGTAAGACACTTCCTTGCTCATCCATTAGGTCTGTAACATAGATCAGCTTTTTTTTCAAACCAAACTTGTTACAATATTGTTTTTCTGTTTATCACTATAGTTCTGTTGTTCCAGAGTGTGAAACCATGTGAAGTAAAATTACCGGTATATGAAAAAATCATCTTCCAAAGATGTGTTATTTCTGATTATGAAATTCAGGTAATTTGACTGGCAGTTTCCTAATTTCATAATCATATTTCAGTATGAAATCTAACCCTCCGACTTTCTTAAAAATATTTTTTGGGTTATGAAACCAAATGGATTCTTTTTCTGACATAAAAGCTTTTATCCAATTTCTTTTTAAAACTCCTACCATTGATTCAAAATCTATTCTTTTCAGACCTCCTTCTTCATAATCTTTAACAGAAAGTATATAAATACAGTTTCCAATATTGGGTCAATAGTAACAAGCTTAAGTTAGGCATGTGATTTTAGTATTTACATTTTCCAAGAACATCATCTTACTGAGACATTTTTTTTAGATCTATGGGTTTACATTTTCGAGAAATTTGTTTTACTTTTAAAACTAAGATTTTGTCAAACATTGTTCCATGTATGGCTGCAACAAATTATTATTCAGCAAATCGATTAATCTGCTGAATATTTTTTCGATTAATGGATTTATAATCGGATATCCAAAGGTTCCTCAAAGAAGAATATTAATGAAATATAACCAGATGAAACATAAACTTTTCCACTTGAGGAGTTCTGGATAGTATGGAAGCCTGTTTCCGACCACATTAAAATAAAAAATGCCAAATAGAAAGTCATAATTATGAGATAGATACAAAGTCACAATTTCGACTTTCAAAGTTATAATTATGAGTTACAAAGTCGTAATAAGGAGATAAGTCATAATTATGAGTTACAGGGGTCATAATAATGAGTTATAAAATCCTAATTCTCTGTATCTACTCTGCATCAAACTGACCATATAAATGTGTTTATTTTGCACTGTTTTGTTCTCCCACAATGTTTACATTTTATAACTGCTGCACTTTAAGAAAATGGAACTCTGTGTATAGAAAACAGCAATAAATGTTGTCTAAGTCTGAGTCATAATGAAGAGATACAAAGTCATAATTATGAGCTAAGTTTTAATTATTAGTTACAAAGTCATAATTATGGGATACAGAGTTTGAAAGTTGAATATTTCAAAATTATGACTTTGAATCTCATAATTATGACTTTCTATTTAGCATTTTTTTAAAGGCACACTATGCAACATTTTTCAGTTAATTAATGTGTTCCATAACGTTTTGGATGATTAAATGAGTCATTTCAGGTTGAACAAAGGTATTCTCGGCCGCCCTGGTGGTCTGTGGGGGAAATACTGCACTTGCAATTGCAGGAGCACCGACCCGCACCCACAGGCTCAGAAGTCTCACGAGAGTCAGTCTTGCTTTACGGCGAGAACTGCTACACCCCCCAGTTAAAAGCATGCTCGTTGCTAGCACAGTGGCGATCTTTGTGCAGTTATGCTACGTTCACATCGGACGCAGCAAAATCGCGTCTGCTGCTTCATTTTTGCTGCTTGTACCAGTTAGTTCTGACGCGCGGCTGAAGCAGCTTTGCTGCTCTGGCTGCGCGGTGCAAAAGTGTGTCTGACGCGCGTTGGGCGGAGCTTCACTATCCTTTCTCTGCCTTGCAGCTATATTTGCTGTGATCAGTGGGAATAAAGTAGTTTTAATATGTTTTTAAGTGAGAAAATACAGCTGAAAATGTAATCAGTGCAGTCAGTTCATTCAGATTATCATCCTGCCTTCAATATTTTTTCTTCCGCTCAGACCCCCACATACCAGCGGTGCGCCGACAGTCGGAATCCCTTCATCAGCAGCCTCTGGCCGGGTCACCTCCTTGCGGTTCACCGGGGCAGCTGTATGGCAAGCCAAGAAGGTCACATTTCGCATTGAATTGTCGCGTTAAGAGGTCCCGCGGCGCGTTTTGAGCAGCAGGCGCAGCGCGTCTGAGCAGCTGAAGCAGCGCGTCGGGCGCGTCTAATCATCTGACGCAGGGAGAGAGACACAGCGCTGATGCTCACTCCTCTTAAACAGTTTATTGACGCCTAAATTAACTTAAAATGCAGAAATCTGCCGGCAGAATATGTTGGCTTTTATTATCCTGCTGCCTGCAGTTTGGATTATTTAGATGAAAAACACATAACAACCGCGCCTGGCTTGACGGAGAAACCAGGAGAACAGCTGTGCATATTTACGACAGTGCACTTTTACTTTCGCCCTCTGGGGGGAGCCTCGCTGGAAAATCAACACCGGTTGCATAGTGTACCTTTTAAATTTCATTTGGTGGAAGGGATAGGATAGCATAACAACAGACGAAAAAGATTTTTATTTATCTGAAATAAAAAATGTTTACATATTTTTCCTAACAACTTTTTTATAATTACTGCTCTAACTGGGTTGCTCTGTCAGATAAAGGCATGTTTTACCGTCTCTATACTCCAGTTAACGATTAATCGATTACTAAATTAGTTGACGATTATTTCAATAATCGATTAATCACGATTAATCAGATTAATTGTATCAGTCCAGGTTCCAGGGATGTAAAAGTTGATGTTTTGAAACATAAAACTGCATTTATACTGAGATTAAAACTACACACAGGTGAGCTCTGTTTGCTAATCAAAATTATATTAAAATGCAATTAGGTGCACAGGTTTTCATTTGGGGACACCATAGGATATCAGTTTATCTAATTGTACTCAACACTTTTAAGCTTTTTAGTAAATAATGGTTTATTAAAATTTTACAGCACACTCATGCCATTATTTGAAACAACAGGAAATGAATAAACACAGAGTAATTTAAACTAAATGTTGTGGCCCAGCTTTGATGACACAAAAAAAGGTCAACAAAGGCCACAGATGCACCATGGACAAGTAATTTAAAAGAAAACATTTTCCAGGTAAACTCCTTCAGTTTTCTTAGTTTATTTCTGCTCAGGCAAGCAAACAGGAAAGGACAAACATTTCCTCTATGCTTCTCTTACGCTGGTAAAAAAAAAACATATGGCCATCCAGATGCATGCTGGTCCTACCATTGACAGCCTATTTATAAAAAATAATTCTCTGAAATTAATCAGAACTAACCAGAAACAAAGGAACATGACTAAATAACCAAATAGCATCATCTCATAACAGATATCAAACAATAAAGTAGAATAAACTTAGCTAGATTATCCACAAAAATAAAAAAAAACTTTGTTTATTATTAACAAAAAATAATTGGCTCCTACATTAAGCTAACCTCAATAAACTAACTAGAGGCAAGATAAACCAATCAAAGCTTAAAACTGACCCATGCTTAACTAGAGTAGATTAAGCTAACCCAAGCTACCTACAATAAGATAAGTAGGTTGTTGGTATTGATGTAATTTGGATCACATGGTTTTCCTAGTGATTATAGGATCACCTGCTAGCTCACCTGGTTAGCTTTAGTGACTGGCTGACCACTTTAAGCATCGGATGTGTTTTGCTTTCGATCACTGCTTCAACCAACAGTTCTGTCTTTATTATGCTGCTGTGCTGCATAGATACTACAGTTTCACAGTCCCCAACATAAAACACAGGGATGCTAAATTAAGCAAACATCCTTTAGGCTCATTAAACTAAAGCTATAAAAAGTACTCAAAGCTAAACTAAGTTAATTGGGTTTGAATAAACTAGCTGGGGATACATGCATTGATTATGATACCAAAACAATTCTATGTACTTTCAATAGCAATGTCTAAAAGTCCAAAGCTTAAATCTGTTTTTATTGTTTTATGGGTAGTTAATTTGCTAGAGTTCCTTTATTTGAACTAAATTAGGTATGCAGTGACTCAACTATCTGCATATGAGCATGTACTCTTTATGTACTGTGTTGTACTTTTCAAAAGCAGTTAAAGGAACACCTTTAGCAGCATCTGGAAAAATACATCCTACATAAAGCAGGTAAATTTATTTATATGTCATATTATAGAGATTATACCGTACAATACTAAAAGCTTTAAACTAAATCATGGACGGACTCTGATTACAGAAGTGGGGGGGGGGGGGGGCAAGTATTTTTTGGTATAACTAACTTCAGTGTGTAAAACCATCCAATCACCGACCTGCCTCAGCGTGAGCTGCAGTTTTCTGCTGGGTCCTAGTGCTCAACGAATGTCTGTGTACTGTAGTATAACATTGTTTTTGGACAGTAAAACATGCAGGGGACCAAAACTGATGTTTGAGAATGCAGGGGACATGTCCCCACTGTCCCCCAAAAAATTACGTTCATGAACTAAATATATTATTATGTTATGTCTGTTCAAAGCCCCTTAGCTGTAAATTGCACCAAGATAACTGAATTTCCTTTACCTTTACCCCGTGGCTCTAATGGTAAACACCACACAGTCCCCAGGCTTCCATTTAAAAACTGGTCACTCAAGCACACACCGCCCCCTTATCGTCAGTTTGAACAGGACAGACAAACAGATCAATGAGGACTACTTGCAGTGGTTAAGTGCAGAACTCAGAGTAAAAGAGAGGAAAGAGAGGAAAACATGTCGTTCGGAGGAAAGATTTATCAAGATTTGACCACAGAGGAGAGCTCACATTCTCCTCGCCAATCATTTGGTCAAGGTAGAGTTTGCAAGAAACTTTAATGTCTGTTTGTCTGTCTTCCTTTTACAAATTTTAAATAATCTATTTAAAATGTAAGGAAAGTGGAACAAAATAGTGTCACAATTGATTTGAAATTGGTATTTTTTTCTTAAAAATGGAAACTTTTATGTCTTCCATGAGGAGTAAACACATTAGAGCGTAAACAGTAACTAGGAAATATTTTCTAATTTCTGTTTGAAAACAATAACAGAGTAGAATTAGCTATGAATACTAACCCTGATAAATGTTTTAAAGGTCTGTTTACCGAAATTGGGAGAAATAGGTTTCAACACCACCGACTGGTTATACTAAGTCTGGGTCTGCTAAATGCTGCTCTGCTCATTTCTGCTGCTGTCATTGGGATTTATTGTAAGTATGAAAATCTGTATTGTGCACTACTGTTAAGTTATAAAATACCTGAGCTGATCTCCAAACTAATAGGAGGATATTAGACATATCAAAAGCAGAAATGTTTGTCCTTAAGGTGCCACAGGCTAGTGATAAATAGGTAATGTCAATTGATTATGAGATAAACACATTTTTGCATTACTAAAGTGTTAATGAACACCTTCCACTAAATACCTCATAGTGTCTAACACAGTTTTCTTATCGTACAGGTGCTAATGCCAAAGACCTTCAGATTCCTGATTTGGCAGCTTCACCCCTTCTTGTTGAGGTGAACTTTCTCCGCAACCACACAGGGATAATAAGAGAAAAACTGGAGGCTCAGAGAACGCTGGCGAACGAGCGCGTCAACCATGTGCAACTAAAGCTGCAAGTGAGGCAGAAGAGGACTCTGACAGACAACCTTCAGAGGCAAATAGCCAAGTTGCAAACAGAGAAGACAAATCTGAAGTCCAATACATCTGCTTTTGGTAGTTTTAAGCATTCAAAAATTATGTTCCATTTTCTACTGTTTCTTGCTAAAGTATTTGTATCCCTCTTTTTGATTAGTTAATCTGGCAATCAGTCAAAAATCAATCATTCAATAACTGATCATTAAAAGGACATGTTTATAGTATTATGCATTTGTCAAAGTAAAATGCAAACATTGAATACATAGAATAAAATATATTACATTATATATTGTAAAAACAAAGTTTGAATGAAAAAAAAAAACCCAGAAGCATAGAGCAGAGGCTTGCAATACACACTGGTGAGATCTCTACCATCTCTGTGACATTTTATCATATTCTGATTAAAAACCTCAAACTATTCATTAGATAGACGAGTAGTGGATAATTGCGGAGTTGAAGAAAAAGAGCTATACGGCTCCTACCACATGGTGTTTCCACCCCCACTAGTAACAATGGAGTGATGTGCCTGTTTTTTGGCCGCATACATAAGCTTTTTTGGGGATTTCTTATGTTTTCCTTTTTTCCTTACCATCCATTCGTTTTCAGGCACACTTTATCCCTGCTGGGGTTGCAAGGGGTGCTGGTACCTATCTACAGCTGGACAGGTTGCCGGTCCATCGCAGGGCAGCACAGAGACAAACAATCATTCACGCACACACTCATACCTAAGGAGAATTTAGAGAAGCCAATTAACCCAACAACCATGTTTTTGGACTGTGGGAGGAAGCCGGAGTACCCAGAGAGAACTCAAGTATGCGCAGGGAGAACATGCAAACACCATGCAGAATGACCCCAAGCCAGTAATCAAATCCAGAACCTTCTTGCTGCAAGGCAGCAGTGCTACCTTTTCCCCGCTCTGCAGCCCTTTTTTTCATACCACTCATCCATAAAGGCAGTTTTCTTGAAGTGCCAAGCTATTATTTTTTCTATTAAGAGATTCTCTCATCAGACCTGTAAACCTCCAGTTACCCCCCTAAGATCTTCCTCTGATTAATACGACTTGCAAGCCAATCAGTTTAGGTGAAGGACCGAGTCTTGGTAGGTTTGTAGTTGTGAAAGACTCTTTAGACCCAGCTTTAAAATTATCTTAACGTCTCCCTTCTTTCTGTGGTTTGTTCAGTAATGTTCTTTGAAAAACCTGTGAGGCCTTCAGAGAACATGAAAGTTGGGTATAGTTGTGTCGCCTGACTTTTTGATGCAAAATTCAAACTTTTAGGGGTGTTCTGATTCAGTTTTCTAGCAAAGCAAATTCTAGGATTTATTACACATAGGTGGACTCTTTGTGCAAATTACACAAGTTTTAAAGGCCATTGGATGCAAAGGAGTAGTAAACATCACAGCTTAAGGTACCTGCACTACTTTGTTTTGGTCTGTCACATTACAATATAATGAAGCTTGTGGTGGTAAAGTGGCAAAATATAAATAGTTCACCAGGTCTGAATGCCTTTGGGAAAACATTACAAGTTTTGTTGGACTGTTTCTGAAACCATTTTAAAAATTCTGTTCTCGTTTTTATTATAACAGAGAAAAGCTGTGGGAGATGTCCATCAGGGTGGATCCTGCTTAAAACATCCTGCTACTACTTTTCTGAATTTGAACCTGTTGCAAGGAAGAACTGGTCAGATAGCAGAGCAGACTGCATTCGCCAAGGAGGTGACCTGCTGGTGATCAACAACTTGGAGGAACAGGTGGGTTCAAACCTAAAGACAGAGTTATATTAAAAGAATTTGACTTTTAGGAAAAAATACTATTTAAGGGCTGAATTCTAATATATGTATGATGATGAAATAAATGAGATCCTGCATAGAAATAAAGTAGTCATGCCAACATCAATGTTTAATCGCCTGTTTACTCTTTGACTACACGAATGTCTGACCCCAGATGTCTTATTGTTTACAGCAACTCATAAGTACTAATTTCATAAGAATAGACAGCAGCAGCATGTGGTGGATGAATGGTTTCTGGATCGGCCTTACTAATCTGCAACATCAGGGGAGATGGACATGGATAAGCAATGTGACTGACGCATCCGTAATGTAAGAAATCATTCGCTATTATGGCACTCATATAAATACCCTTTAAAACCATCACTGTTTCTAAGAAACGCAACCATAAGTATCTCAGAATATTTTTAAATAATCACAGGTACTGGAGAACCGGGCAACCCACTGAAACTGGACATCAGAGTGGAAACTGTACTGCGTTTCATTATTACGGAGACCCTATGAAGACTTGGTATAATGGAGACTGCCAGCAGCTTCTACTTAACTGGATCTGTGAGATGTCATTGAGCAATGTGTAAAAACGCTTAAAGATACATATGAGCTGACTTAAAACTTTTTTTAACCAATCTAATCTGTTATAGTGTTTGTTATTAAAACTTTGATAATTACATTAAATCATAAAGAAAGATTTGCTTCCTGTTTTGTCAAAGATTTTTACATTATTATGTTTGAAGTATTAAAATGCAATTCATTAGGGTCAGGCCCTAGAGATTTAATCTTACTGATATAAGTCACAATATACTGAGAAGTTAGGTAGTAGGGGTGTAATGATACACATAGAATAGAGATTTTAGCTTTCAAAAACTAGAAAGTTTCATTGTTTTCAGAAATGCAGGTTTAGCAATTCACAAACCGCATTTTAGAATATTTCCCAATTTTGGAAAATTATAGTCATGGTTTGACTTGTCTATTGGTTCCTTTTTTATGTTTGCCTAGTTCTAGAAATACATTACTGCATGAATAAACATTCAAATTGACAAATTCTTTGTACAAATAATTAAAGGCTTTGTGAAAACTGTGTAACAGTATTTGAGTTAAGGACAAACAGGCAAGTCATAGCAACTTGCTTTGGCGACCCCTGAACAATTCAATTCAACTCAGTTTATTTATATAGTGACCAGTTCACAACACACGTGATCTCAAGATACATTACAGAGACAATAGTTAGTGAGTTGAATGTTTTTTGTCAAGCAAAATCTGTTGAATGCATCGAGTCATTGACTAGCATCACATAGTCATCCTGATTGACCTTGTGGCGATGAAATTTATTCACATTTGACACTTCAGCATACCTTAACACCAAGCATGAATGTAGCGACAGTGGAAAGGAAAAACTCTGTTTTAACAGGAAAAAAAACTCCTTCAGAACCAGGCTCAATGTGAGCCCCCTTCTGCCAAGGTTGACTGGCTTTGAAGCAGACAGAAGCAGACATAAAAAAAGAAGCAGAGATAAAAAATATAACTTTTAACTTGCTCCACAGGTGGCCCTGTAGAGTAAAGGCACATCCAGGCAGACAAGCTCAGAGCTAATTCTCTTGACAGAGGGTGAAAGAGAGCACATATGGTTACTCATACTAAAAGGCTGGTTATACTCCCTGCAGCAGTGTGTCGCAGTGAGCTTGACACTGACATTTTTGATTTATGCTGAATTTTGAAGCGTGGTCTGGGCTATATGCTGTGGGTCTAGCTATGGCCGAGGCGGTGAGGAAGTGGAGGCAAGTTTGTCTGACAACGGAGGGACATGAGGGAGAAAAAGAGCGGGGATCCAGGTGGAAAAAGGGTCCCAGTGTAACTGCACACCTCGCTCTTCTAGCTGGTCCAACTTGACGAGTTGTTTTCTACAATTAGGGTAATAAAAACAAAACAGGCTGGCCTCCTGTCTGAGTCACTGTCTGCATTCACCTACAATTTGGGAGAGGTGCAGCAGGGTGTCTGCGGAGGGGGCGGGGACGTCTTTTTGTTTACTGCGACACATATGCAGACAACCTAGTTTTGAAGCATAAATAAGCCTTAAGAGAAACAGGACTACACTGAAAAACAGGCCAAGCTCCAATATCTATAAACAAAGGTGTTGTTGGCATCAGCACAGCTGATATTTCTCTCCAGGATAATGTCACATTCAAACAGAACAGATTAGATGAAGCTACCGGTACTATGGCAAGAAAATGCAGAGACAATATATAGTTAGGGGTTGAACTAACTAAATACTGCAGGAGATGGAATGATGGAAAGTGGTCCCTAAGTCCTCCAGCGGCTTAAACTTATAGCAACATTAATATAGAAAAAAGCTCAGGATAACCTACATATTTTGGGTGAGGTATGAGGAAGATAGAATTGAGTCAAGTCCACCTCAGCTGAAAGTACAAACAGGAAGCTTTAAAGCAGTTTCCTGCTAAGTAACATTTTTCACGGTTCCAATGCGGTATTTTTCAGCATTTTGGAAGATTGAGCTTCATGATTAAAGCAGTTCCTACATGCCAGGTGTATCCAAAATGTGTTGCATTTCTACAAAATCAATGTAACTTTAATTTAGACATTTGAAAAACAAGGTAAAACAATAACATCACAGCAAAAGTACCCAACTATGTTCTGATACAGCAGAAACATGTGAAAGTCACATCATTAATCTTAATGTATCTGCACTACTTATAATAGGAGCCAATAAAAAACAACAACCATACAAATTTAGACAACATTTTATCTTTCAAAAAAATTTACATTTAAAACGGTTTAAAAGGTTCTTACAACTCAACAGCATACATAAGTTCAGGAACCCTGTCAAAAATAATGTATTTAATTTGTTGACTGTTAAAAAAGAGAGAAGAACAGCTAAACTACTTTCTTCTTAATCTAAGTGAGAGTTTCAAACATAGATGCATAATGGTTTTCAAATTTAAAGTGCAAACAATATGCAGCGGTGAACCAAATTCAGGGTCATTTTCTAACTGTGATATTATATTTCTTCTTTTTTAACTGGTTCCTCAGAATTACAGTGTCACTTCTAGAAATGTTTCACCCATGATTACATATAAAACATAACTGGCAAAACTTTTGAATAGTTTATTTATTTATTTAGATTTTTTTTTTTTTTTTGACTGATTCCTACCTCATATCCTTTCAGAAACAAACCTTCTGGTTGGTTAAAAGTCATTTTCAATAAAAATAAAGGGTTTTAAAGTTGTTGGGGTTAACTGTATTTCACTTTAATCAATCAGAATACACTAGCTTAACTTAATATGGGGTTACAGGTTTTGTTTCTAAATTCCTAAATATAATTTCCTTGAGATTAGACAATTATATTTGAATTTAATTGAATTAATATATTCTGCTTGTAAAAACATCCATTTACTAGACAATTAAATAATTATTTAGCCCCAGACTGGGGTCCAGCCTAGGTTAGTCCTGCTAAAGTCCGGCCCAGTCACTTGGTTTACCTCTGTCAATATTTAACAAATGAACTTTTTCTGTGTGTAATGTTACACAGGGCAACGTCCTGACAAACAATCTCTGCTGGACTGTTCTTTCAGACCACTCTCAATATAACATTCAAAAATGGATGAAACATTAAATGCAAGTCGTCCTTACAACCAACTGATCAGTCACGAGGAAGCCACTGAAGATGATTATACTTTTTCTTCCAATTCAGAGAATCAAGGTATGTCAGACCTGTGATTGGCTTTATTGACATTTCAGGACTAATTTTGGCCTTGTGTGTGGCTGTACAATTCGATTTAAAAAAAAAAAAAACAAGTGAAATTTTAAAAAATACATTTATCTAGTGTTTTCTCATGCTTATATATCCCTCTTTTTCTCAACTGTCGATGGCTCTAATATTTCCTATGTAGTGACTGTGTCGGCGCTGAGACCTGAATCAAGCATAGATCATTCCAAGTTGCTCAAAGTGGGTCTAGGAGTGTTTGCACTGATCCTGCTAGTGGTGAATATTGGCCTGGGGGTGTACTGTAAGTTATTTTTATGCAAGTAACTTTACACTAATGTTGATGTTTAATGCAACACTTATGATGTAAAGAGAGTTACAGTAAACTGACGATAGTGAATTAAGGGATTAATATGTTTTAATCAAATCTGTTGTCAGATTCCTTTAATGTATTACGATTCAAAACCAACCAGATTAGACAACTTGTTGTAGATTAATCACACAAGTTTGTAATATCAAGAAAATGCAATAAGAAAAAAAGATTATGTGCACCAATAATGATCAGATAAACAGCATATTGCAGTTCTTCAGCTGCTTGAACTGATTTTTCTGTATATATAAAACCATTCATCTATATATATATATATATATATATATATATATATATATATATATATATATATATATATATATATATATATATATATATACACTGCTTTTTTTAAAGTAGATACATGTGACCAAGTTAAATTTATCCGAGATTTACTGTAATCCACAATACAACTACTATGCTTAGACTATGCTAAGACTGTCAAACCTTATTAGGTTTGAAAGTCTCACAATAGTTTATCCCAGTATTATTCCTATCTTTTAGGCCGAACAGTTTAACAATAGTCTAATTTGACTAAAAAGCATTTTTTTGTTTCAGAAAAAAGGTTTGAACAGTCTAAACATAAGCAATATGATGAAATGAACTTCAATAGCATTATTGTAATAACAGTTGCATTCCATTATGTTCTCGTTTACTATTGCCTTAAACCTTAGTCGCTCCTACAATGTTCTTAAAAATACAAGTATGATATTTCTAATCCGCATTTGGATCAGATGATTGGTATCTGGACACAAATGAATGTTCCTACTGGATGATGACCCTCAATGCAAATCTGAATGGATTTAGGATTTTCTTTCCCATCGTAACCCTATTGAATATATTCGATCAATGCCTCTTATTGGAAAAATAAACCTCCAAATATTGTAAAGAGTGTAAAGAGTGATGAAATATCCAGTCAGAATGGATGGGTCTGAAATTTTTATTGTATGTTCATGTCCACCATTAGAGACATAATCTAAAAAGAAACAAATCTAGAAATCACAATATATGATTGGTACATTTTTAAGTAAAAAAATGAAGTAATCTGTGTTAAGAAATTTTAAAAAGTGCAAGCTTGTATTGAAAAATTAATAATGTTCTATTCTGGATATATAAAGAGCACAGCGAATAAAGGTTTAATCTAAAACTATAATGGGCAAACGTCTCCAAAAGTCTTTTAACATATTATCCTTTTATTTAAAGATGTGGTTCCTAAACTGTGATATATGGAAACACATATTCTGAAAATGTTTTTAACTTTACAGAATAAATTATTGCCAATATTTCATACTATTTATTGTATATATCATCCAATAAATGAATGAAACGTACTCAAATAAAAATGTGAAAACTTTTCTGTTCTATCAAAAGAATTGAGGGGAAATAACTTATCATTTCACAATTTTTATTTCCTACAGATAACAAACTCACTGCTAATAATATAGTAAGAGACATCAGTGGTGAGATAACCAAACTTCAAGCTTCTTATGACGCTGCAGTCCAAAGTAGGGATGAAGCCAGGAAACAGCTGGCGATGGAGATCCGTGAGCAGCAGGTCACCAAGTGGGAACTCGCGCACCTGAACGTTAGAGTTAAGGACTATGAAAAAAAGGTTGAAAAGATTCAGCTGGACACTGTAGCACTGAGATCCCACCTCCTAATGATAAGTGCGAGGCTCTTCAATAGTCATTTCATATATGTAATTACTGTAAACAAGCTAACAAGAATTTAAGATTCCTTTTTTTTCCAAAATAGAGGAAGGCTGCAGACACTGTTTGCCTGGATGGACTTTCATGAGCTCAAGCTGTTTTTACTTCACGTTTTCTGACACCGTCAGCCGCGTGTCATGGAACGGGGCCCGCCAGTCCTGCAAGAGGTTAGGAGGGGACTTGGCAATCATAAACAGCAGAGAGAAGAATGTAAGGCAACACATTTACACTCCTGACAGATTTGTACAAATAAATAAAGGCTTTGTGAATCTAGAAAAAAAAAAATTTCATCTCAATGCATTATTTTTACATTTAGCATATGATTGTCATTTTTTGCTCTTCGTTATTTTTGTTGATTTATGAAAACTGACCTTTATTGAGGAACAATCATTGATGCACTCTTTGAGTAATTTTGGTAGCAGGCCAATCCTGAGAAAGACTCACCGCATGCTCTCTCCATTTGTGGATAACAGCTCTCAGGAGACTCAAAGTCTGAAAAAAACATCTAATGGCTTTATTTCTCATCCGCTTTCAACTTTCTCCTCATGATACTGAGCTTTTTCAGGTACTTTAGCAGACTTCATCTTGTCAGACTGGTTCTACTCAAGCAGTGTTGGGAGAAATACATCACATAATAATGCCGTTAGTAACTAATTTCAGAAATGGAGTTATCTAACCAATTACCTTTCACATATCGATAACGCTGGTATGTTACAGTCTAACGCAGAGCATTAATACACCTTAATCAATCAAAGCGACTTTTTACGACTCCATTCTCTCTGCTGAGGGGAGAAAAGGCTTTTAGTGCAGAGACAGAACAGGAGCTGAGGTTATACATGAAGCTGATTGGCTGAGGGGACGTAATGTTAGTGATTGTTCATGATGCAATGGTTGCTCGCACAGAGGAGAGACCTGAAGCGATGGGGTAAAGAGCATTATTGCCATTTTATAGCCAACTTCAGCCTGCTAATGTGTATTTAAATCAAGATTTAACATATCTAGTTTGCTTTATTTTTGCTTTACTTATCTGTCTATTATGTCAAAAATTGTTTAGCAATTAAACAACAGAATAAATCCATAATGGGATAAATCCTTTTTTTATTGCTTTGGTATACCCAACTATGAACACCTGTGTGTAAATTTTCTTTTTACAGATTGGAATAACTAGTTTGATTAGCTCTTACCAAGACCCCTCAAGAGCAATGATCCACAGTGGTTTCTGGATCGGTCTGACAGATGAGGAGGAGGAAGGCGTTTGGAAATGGCTGGATGGGACGAGACTGACTGAAGGGTAAATTTTGTATATGCCTAATAAACCTGCTTAAAACTATCTGTGGTTTTAGATAAACCGTGTAAGAGTTTATATTACCTCTCAACAAAGTGACCTAATATTTGCTGCAGGTTCTGGAATCCCGGAGAACCAAACAACGTTAACAACGAGGACTGTGCAGCAGTGTATCCCAAAAGCAACCCTTTCACATCCTGGAATGATGCACCTTGCAATTTTAACTTAAAGTGGATTTGTGAAATGGCACCAACATCTTTGAGATAAAAAATAAATCGTTTCAAGGTTCTGGTTAAATTTGGCAAGACAGGAAATTAACTCTGAGATTCCTTTGTCTTGTTTATTGTTTACCACTTTATGAACTATGCATGGAAGATCAAACTACAAAACAACTGTTACAGAAAATACATCTGTTTAAAAAGTTTGTATAACAACAAAAATCTGACTTAAATGTATAAACAAAATATAGAAACTTAGCACTTAATTTTAAAGTTCTTCAGAATTTTACATAAAAATAAACATATGAGTCCTTCTACACACAGAGTAAAAGTTAAAGGCTACACACTGTCATAGAAAACAACATTTCTACTTGTGTAAAATCTTTGTTAAATTCAACTCTTATTTGTATAAAACATTAAGAAATAAAATGAATGCCTCTTTGCCGTTTTCTGTCTGACTAACCCCTTCGTCTTTTACTATTTTCATAAACTTTTAGTGGGAGGCCTGATAGACTTTGAACCTCACAGCGCTGCAAAGTGCTGCCGAAGCTGCTTGAGGAGCTGCTGAGTGTCGGCGTGCTCTGGAAAAGCATCTTCAGACTTCTGAGCCGCAGTGTAGCTGCTCTGAAGATCTCCTATCTGGACAGAGGCAAAAGACATCTGTATCATTAACATATATATATATATAAAAAAAAAGACCATGACAGAAAATTACATTTGAGAAGCTCTTATATATCACAAAGCAGTGCTTTACCTTTTCACACAGAATGGAGAGATTGTAGTTTGGTTCATACATGTGAGGGGCCAGCGACGCAGCTGTCTGCAGGAAGGCTTTGGACTGAACAGGAGATGATGTTTCTTATAAACACTTCTCTATAAGATTGTAAATAAAGCAACCATATTCATCTAATGTCACCCAAGCTACTTGTCTTTTTAACAACATTTTTGCATCATGAATAGCTTCCACAAATGTGCTTTACGAACAAACAGTCGCACTAATACTTTATTTGATTAAAGCAAACTCCTCTTAAGCCTGATTACAAATGAATGACAAGACTATTTATAACAAGTTTCGTATTAATGGGGATAATATGGAACTTTCATTTTGTTATAACGATACAAACACATTGTAGCTATAAAAACAAAAACCTTTGGATATTTACAGTTGAATAAAATCCATGACCTCACCTGCTCAATATGACCTTTCCGAAGCTCCAGTACTGCTAGGTTGTTGTATGCCTCAGCGTGATCATTATTGAAAGCCAGGGTGAGCTTGAAACACTGGTACGCCAGAACCAAATCCCCAATGCCCTTATAAAAAAAAAAAAAACACAACTCAGTCTCAATTTGTTGTACACTGGCTTCCAAGTTCTTTGTGGAAACGTTGTTAGTAACAACAACGTAGACCTTCTGGTATTTTTCTCTAGTTTGCTCACTCACCACAGCAACATGTCCAATGTTGTACCAGACATCTGCCAACTCTTCATCATTGGCCACCAGAGTTAAAGCCCTCTCAAATGAGGACAGGGTCATGTCATACTGTTGTGCGTAGAAACAGCAGAGGCCCAGGTTGTTGTACAGCTGGCAGTTATATACTCCCATTTGGAGAAGCCGTCTAGGAACAGAAGAAGCACCCTGCATTCAGTTATAACTTCTCATTAGAGGCGGAGCTTTAGAAAGTATTAAAAACCCTAAAACCTTCTCACATTTTGTCAGATAACTTCCCAAAAATATGTCATTTGTTGCACTATTTTGTGGTAGACAAAAAAAAGGCAACAAAAGAATTACAAAAATATTAAGGCTGGTTTTTGAAATATAAGACTCTAAAATGTTTAGCAAGCATTTACATTCCTCTCATTTGACTTTGATACATAGTAAAATCCACTGCAGTCAGCGTACTACAACTGTAAACCTATTAAGACATGGAGGTCCAGCTGAACTGACAAGTGGAGTAAGGAGAGATTTTATCAAAGATGAAGTCCATCGATCCATTTTAACTTTGGAGGAGCTGCAGAGCTGCAAACGTGTGAATGACGGTGCACCGCTTAGATGAGACCACCTTTTACTCTATGACTTAAATAAAAATACTGGCTTTGGAGGAACACTAATGAAACATAAACTGCAAACGCCAGCAATATTACAACGCATGGTGGTGGCAGAATCATGCTGTGTGAGTAGGTTCCTTTATTGTTGAGAGGGAAGCTGGTCAGAGTTGATGAATGGAGCTGCACACTGGGCTATCCTCAAGGAAAACCTGTGAAATGAGCTCAAACACACAGCCAAGCTAAGAGAAATGGTTTAGACTAAGATAATTAGTATATTTTGTAATGGGTAAATTAACGTTTAATCCTTTATCCAACAGAGAATTAATGTCAATAAAGCTTATGTTAAAAGATAATATATAATCTGAGCTTGAGCTATTTTGTAAATGCTAATGGATGAATATTTCAGTCTTGATATGAGAAACCAAACTGGTAGAGTTCTACCCAAAAAGACTTTCCATTATAATTGCAGCTGAAAGTAGTTCTACAAAACAATGCCTCCCGCCAGACTACATCTTTTCTCTTCCCAATTATGGACTAGTTGGTGTTGCTCGTTAACATTCCTTGATTAAAATAGTGAGTCCTCAAAATGTAAAAAAAGAAAAGCTTAAATCGATTCAAATGCTTCTGATGGAACTTTAAACTGTGAAAATCCTGCAATAATTCAGAGTAAATCTTCCCGACCTGTAGAACCGCAGGGCGATTTCAGGCTGATCAGTATAGAAGTGATTGCTGCCTATGCAGGCAATCGCCTCAACGTGTGTGTTGTCCTGCTTCAACACCTCCTTGTAGTACTCTGTGGCTGATGAAATGTTGTTCATCTCCTGCAAAGAAATCACATTAGAAACGGTAAATACGAAATTTTTCCTCATTTAATCCCGACAGGAGACTTGAAAACTGAGGCTTTTATGTCGACTCATTGTACCTCATGGATGCGGGCGATTCCTGTGAGAAGCGTAACCTCACCAGGGAAGTGGTCCAGACCTTGCTTGAAAAGGTTAAGAGATGTTAAAGGTTGATCCATCCGCTGATAAACCTTGAAGTAAACACAGACACAATTTTTGAATTTCAGGATTCTTTTTTTTTTTTTTTTTTAAGTGTTCTAAATCATAAAGTCCCTACCTTTGTGAGGTAGAGATATGTATCTACCACCTCCTGGTGGTTGAGAGCTGATCGAAACTGTTTTTCTGCTTCTCTGTATAAACCAAGTCTGAACAGGCAAATAGGTTAATGGTTTTAATAAACAACATTATTAATGCTCAGAGTTTAGATGGTTGTGAGTCCCATTTACCTGTAGTAACATTTTCCCAGTTGAACCTTCCACCACCAATCTTTGAACTGCGCATGTTCAGTGGCTAGAGCTGCCAAATCTAAAGCCTTGCAGATAATTAACCCATATTTATCAGCTTCAAATAGTCAAAATGCAAACCAGTTCTCTATACAGCACATATGAATGCAACACTTACATTTTTTACATCGTTTTCATGATGAAAGATGTACTCAAATAGAGTCTGCAAACAGAAGATTAAAGAAATGACAAAAAAAATGAAAATAACTTAAATAAATTATTAGAATGCACTTTTTAGAATGCACTTTTTTCTTACCCGGGATAAACTGGGTTTTTGGGAGTATTTGGACAGATTTATTCTTGACAGATTTATAAAGGGTCCTTCTGGATTGGTTAGCATTGAAGCCTGGGGGGAAAAAAGAAAATACAGTGTTGTTTTAAACATTTAAAAGAAATTTATTTTTAGAAATAAGCTAAATAATATTTTGTAAGATCAAATGTACAGTGATGTATGTTTACTGGCCCCCTGATCTAAATGTCTAAAAAGGGTTAGAATAAATTCATTTTTAAACTAGAGGTACAGAAGATGCTTAAATTATCAGAACGTATTAACCTATATTTGGTTAGACTGATAATGGGAAAGGTCAGCCTTAGAATAATAAATTGATGTTTATTTTTTTATGCTTTTTCTCTTGCAAAATAAATGGGCTAACTATCTTTAGTTCAATCACTTTAAATAAATAAATAGCATCTGAAACACTTTTTAAATACATCCTTGTTTTAGGCTTATCTGAGTTTCTTTAAAAAGTAAAATCAATAGAAAATCCATAACTTGTTGATGTCTTAGGATGTTCTTCTTCATACACATTTTTACCAAGGGAGTCTCATTAATTTCTCAATTCTTTTATGTTATGTTTAAATTAATTTCTAAATATGATCTGAATTGCCTTCGATAAAAGCAGAACACTCACAGTTCCCAAACGAATGAATCTACCAGAAGCACTAGTGACAGGACGAGCGGTGCTTGCTGTGCGCGGTGTTTTGATTGCCTGCTCCATGGTTCCAGGTCGCCCTGACTGTGTGCTGGGTCTCACAAACCCTGTGATAGGACGCCCCGATTGTGTCATCGGCCTGATCATCAGAAATCATAGTCAGGTTTATTTTAAATATTAACGCAGAATATTTAAATATATTCCTGGTGAAGGCAACATACCTGACTGCTGGAGTGGGACCACCACCCTGACTTGTTCCAGGGAGTCTCAGTGATGTTCCAGGTCCTAGAGGAGAGTTTAAACAATTACAATTTATCACAAAATTTATCAGAAGTTTATTGTTTTTGCTGGTAAAGAGCTGAAACCTACGTGCAACTTGTGCAATCGAGCTCTCATCCAGTATCATCTCGGCAATTCCCTCCTCATCAACATCAACTTCATCAATGTACACCATCTCTGTGAGGGCTCTAGTTTTCAAGCTCCATGCAGCCTGTAGAGGACGAAGCTTGAATCATACAAAGCACCCAAATGAAGCTAAAGGTGGACATTTTACAATTTGGGCCCATTATGGACACAAAAAGACCCAGAAAAGAGTGCAGCATTTTTGTTACCTCTGAGATAAGGAAGGATGAGTCCTTAAGACATGCAGAAAGTTACACAGGGATAAAGCCAGGATGTAAAAAAGGATAAATGGGCGAAAGACAGAAAAAAGGAAACAAAAAGGACGAGCAGAAAAACAAAAACAAGCATTAAAAAGCACAAAAACATTTTGATAGTTGAAACAAACACATGCAATCTTAGTGATATAGGTTGCACCTAAAGGACTAATCTGGATTAGTTTGCGACAGCTTTAAAACTGTTAGCTAGCATTGTCAGCTAACATTACCTGATCGTAGGGACTGTCTTGCAATATTTTACTACAAATATCCGAACACTGTTGAAGCTTCCGCCTCCTGAAGTAGCTCCATGCAAGAAACAAAGGGTCCATCGTCACCTCCATCGCTGTGTCAGGCTGTAAGCTCTGCTAACCTGCTGCTATAAGAAAATAAGAAGCTGACGAGGCTAAAGCTTTTTTGGTTACTTAGCAACAGCGGAGAAGGCGGAAGTACCGGAACTTCCGGTCCAGATTTAAGAAATAAAATTAGATTGAAACACACACAAATAAAAAAGAGTTTAGACTATAATTTAAAATCATATGGCATTGATAAACGACTTTCGTCTTTTGAAAATTTATTATAAGTCGCTATGGTGGATTCTTAAATTATAATCTATTGCAGTGGCGGACTTAGCCATTTCGGGGCCCTTGGCGAACTTCAGCCCCTCCTCCAAGTCAGCCCTCGTGCCCCAGTCGGCCCTGAGTGTGACAGATTATGTGGAGTAAAAAATAAATAAATAATTAAAAATAAAAGAGATTGCATGGAGCAGTGATCGTACTGCAATAATGCAAAACAGAGAGCAGCGCTTTTATTGTAGTCCCTCTCCTGGCCTCCACAACTGAAAAATTAGATGCTTATCCCACATCACTCAATGACAAATATACATGTTGATCTGGAGTCGCTGTCGTTAAATGGTACGGAAGCCGAGAGCAGCCGTCCCCCTCTGATACTTTTACACAATGGTTTTCTCGAGAAAATGTGTTAATTTTCTCATTAACAAAACACAACAAAAGCTGTTTGCTCATGATAATGAGATGATTGGTGTGTGTTAAAAATGATTACATCCTTCAATACCAGAACAGCGGGAAAGGATTTATAAGTATAAGTCATGGCAGCCTATGTGTAATTCTGTTAATAATCCTGTGTTTAACATTTAGGTAACGAGATGACGTTGTTGGTTTGATGATTTGCTTCCACTTCTAATTCATAAGCAATTAGACCTATACCAACGGCGCCTTAGCACCTGGTGTTTTCTGAAAAAGCCCCAGTGTTACATCTCTAACAGGTATCAGTTGCATTAACCCCCAAAATTAGTCCAGATTTTTATAAAGTTTCATTAAAAAAAAGATTTGTTTCTACTGTATTCCATGCAATCCAATCATCCACCATGATCTGAAAATGAGGAAAAAGACAATAAGATAATTATCTTGTTATCTCGAGAAAACATTAATGGTTTAAATGTGACAATGAGATAGTTATGTCATTATCTTGAGAAGGCAAAGAAAAAAAAAAGTCAAGTAAGACCCCTCTCGGCTTCCGTACAATGGACATGAACCTTAGAACACAATATAAAATAGGTGATGTGTCTAGATTAGTTAAACTGCTGCACTGTATAGGAGGCATAGCTCTTAGGGAATAAAGAAGGTGAAATATCACTTGTTATAAGAAGAATTGATGGAGAAAAAATATTGGGTTCTTGGTTCCTGAGGATCTTGCTCAGGAACCCAGAGTGGAGGCTGTGGGATCGATACTTGCAACCTTCTCAGAGCACAAGCACACTCCTCTTACTATATATATATA